TTTTCTTTTAAATGTTTTTGCTTTTCCTTCGGTTGATATTGCTTTTCCATTTGTAGATCGTGTTTTTCTTTCTGTTGGTCTAACTTTTCCTTCTGGTGATCTTGCTTTTCCTTTTGCTGTTGGTTTACTTTCTCCTTTTGTTGATCTTGTTTTTGCTTTGCACGCTCTGCTTTTTTCTTTTGCTGCTTATTTTCTACTTTGTCCTCTTTCCTAGCAACATTTGTTTTTTGAGCTGCAATTGTTGGTAAATTTTGTGATCGGATAATTTCTTTCGAAGGAGTAATTTCTTTCTCAAAAACCTCTTTCGCTTTTTCCGTGGAAATCGAAGTCCTTTTATCTTGCGTATATTTTGATTTCTCCATAGATCGAGATTGGGGTTTCTTCTTTGTATCTTTTTTCTTCATAGTATCCCAATCATTTCCTCTAGATTGTTTTGATTGAATCCTTTCTACATTTTCTTCTTCTTGAGGATTTATCGTTGGCTGAGTCATTGGAAGATCATATTGAAGCGAAGCAATTTTTGGTGACCCTGAGCGTCCTCTGATTTGCTCTGTCGTTGATCTATCTATACTTGCTGATTCAGTCCGAGAATTAAGACCTTGAGAAAGAATTTGAGCATATGAGAATATTTGACTTTTGTTTTCTGTGTTATTTGATACACTTGTATTCTTCTTTTCAATATTATCTGAATTTGTACTATTATCCATATTTATAGTACTTAAGGAAACATTTTGTTCGTTGTTAGATTCACTCTGCTCAGTGATATTAGATATCGGGAATGACGATATTTCCAAATTAGAAACTTCAAGAACTGAAGGAGATTGAGAATCAATAATTTTTTCATTTTTACTATTTTCCGGTTCATTCGCAGGACACTCACGTTGTTGTTGTATATGAGACTCATGACATATGCTAGTTGTCGGTAGAAAATTATTTTGACCAACATAATGATTCGTCGTGTAACCACCCATTTGACTATAATGTTGCGGAGTGATTGTATCGAGGTGTATTTGCTGATGAAGTTCAACTGGTGCGTAAACATACGAACCTACAGGATAAGCACCAAGTTGGGAACCTATGAATCCTACTAGTTCGGTCATAGGTTGGTGTATGTACTCGTAAGTCTCAGTCGTTGGTACTTGACTTTCTATGTTGTCATAATGCTTCTCTTCCAGTACGTCACAGTGTTCTAATGATTCACTAGACCAAGTATTACTAGTCTCCTGTGAGAAATTTTTAGTGTCATCCTTTTCAATAACTGTTTCCTGATTTTGTTCATATAATTGTTTGTCATCAATTGACATCGAACTTTCCGCTGGTTTAATAGATTCTGATTCGATTGTATGAGTTTCATTTATATGTGTTTCCGATAACGTGAGATTAATCGGATTACTTTCAGTTGCATTTGAATGCGTGCTATGAGTTTCCTTCGTCAATGAATTTATATCGTTATCCATCGAATCAGATGGGTTAAATGTTGCGTGAGTACCTCCTCGAAGTATATCGGCATAGGAAGTCGAACCAGGAACCCAAATAGGGCTAGCAGATCGACCTCTATTATCATCGCATGGAGTCAACGTATTCTTCACATTTTTAGATCTTACTATTTGCTTCTCCGTTGCACATGATACAGGCGAACGTGGATTTTCATATTTCTTGTTAGTTTGCATGTTAGGTCGAGCAGAAGTTGATTTTCTTATTGGTGAACGTCCTCGACGAGGAATTGATTCGATTACCGTGATTACAGGAAGACTGTTTAATGTGTTATCGGTTACAGTTCCTTCTTCTTCCATTTTTGGTGTTTGTTCTTCTTGCTGAACTGAACGAATTGAATTTTCATTATCGCTGTTACTCTCGTCCTTTTGCATTTGAATCTGTGCGAGTTTCGGCTGAATATCTTCGACATGTTTTACTTCGATTGCTTTCTGTTCAGAAAGTTGCGTTACGTTGTACGGCAATATCTGAATTGGTAGGGGACAGGAAGGAGGAGGTTCATCTCGTTGATTTCTGTACGGACTACAGCCTCTTGAACTTGGACTGGTACGACCAGCGGCTATATCGGCATAGGACGCCTGTCCGGTGAATTTATACTCGTCGCTGGTTACATAGTATTGATCCACGGTAAGTATCTGATTCATCAGGATCCTGACTCGTTGCTTCCAATCGTCCATCCTTTGTTGTAGGCTCTGCATTATCCACCGCAGGGTAACAACCAAAGAACAACAATGGAATAATTTATGTCAATTTCTAGATATTTTTTATTACTTAATATTTTTGGGCTGGGGGCCTAACGGGGTAAGGGAGAGGAGGCAATTACTTTCGTCGCTATGCTAAACTTGGTTGATATATGGTTTGTTTAAGTATATATATAAAGAAAAAAAAGAAAAAAAAGAAAATAAGGGTAGATATCGTATGGACTTTCCGAAGAAACATAGACGTAATTTGATTAGCGAAAAAATGGGCTTTTTATTTATTTAATTCCTTAATTAGACTATACTCTTTAATATGAGATTACAACTAAACTATATGTATATAATGAAGAAATGAAATCTTGATATATTTCATGTAGCCCATTATGTATATAATTTTGTTCAATATAGAAACTTAATTAAAAAATCTTGGTATACTAAAAAGATTGGATCGAACGATTATCAGTGGATAAAGAGAATGTAGAAGATGATTATACTTATTGAACATATTCATTAAATTATTAACCATCATTATATTATCATTATCCTTATCCAGATTGAAATGTGTAGTATAGGACTTCGTCAATACTTTCAATCATCGTTATCGATGAAACAGTCAACGTCAGTTGCATAGATTTTTCGAAAAACCTGATATTCGTGATTTCGATGAATCTATGCGCGAAGACTTGCCGTTTATGGATATTTCTGATAACTGATAGCAATGACGATGACAGGAACATTTGATTACAAGGTAAATTTATCGTCACGGATCCAGAAGCTCTGGGTCAGGAGTGCCTCTTTGAATGATGAGCTTCGTTCTTTCAATAAACGAATGGATTTTATTTTGCAATGATTTAATTTTTTCTCGATAAATCTATTACATTTGAATTTTATTAACCATAAATACGCGTAACACGTCGAACGAGCGAGCGAGCGAGAGTGAGAGAGAGAGAGAGAGAGAAAGAGAGAAAGAGAAAGAGAAAGAGAGAGAGAGAGAGAGAGAGTGAGAGTGAGAGTGAGAGTGAGAGTGAGAGAGAGGAAGAGAGAAAGAAAATGAGGGAGAAGAAAATATGATATAAACGTGTTATCAGATTTTCGGCACAATTTTGGTTATTTGTGAGATAAATCAAAAATATGGGAATTAATGAGGGAAGCGGAACAATTGTGATGACAAAATGAAAGCCGTAGAACAGCGTATGAGGATCATGATTGAAAGGATAGTGATAGGCAAAAGGTTTGGCAAACAAAATAACGTGAATAAAACAGCTGGTATATACATAAACGAAACAGAAAATAAATAACTCCAAATTATCATACACCATTTGTCTGCATATATTCCGCATATTGATTTGCGTTCAGAGGTCACTTGATTTTTTTTCTGTTTTCTTCTGATCTATTATTATTTTTACTTTTTTAAAAATATTTTTTGCTTGGTTTCAAATTCCATATTATATTTAGCAGCGGTAATTCGCCATGTAATTACACGTAAAGCTCTTGCAACGGAAATAACATTTTATCATATAATTCACGTAAATGTGTGTGTACACAAATAAATATGTGCTATGTGTTGCCTGTTATGCACGAATACGAAAGTATTTCGTATCGTATTCCGTGATTTCTTTTTCTACCTAGAGTGCTTATAGTGATAGTTATACAAACACACGAACACGCGTGCATATTTGTGAACATAAAACAATTGTCTCAACGCATAGCGATGTACACACGTGATAGAGAAGTACAGTGAATTATTAAAACCAAAAATAACACAAAGCAAACAAAATCAAGTAACTCCTTTTCTAGTAATATATAAGTAAAATACTTAAACGATTAAGACATATTTCAAAAATAATAAAAAGTAACAATAACAATAATAATAATAATAATAATAATAATAATAATAATAATAATTATTATTATTATTATATATAATTATATTATATATAATATTATATTATATTATATTATATATTATATATATATTATATTATATATATATATTATAATATTATATATAATTATTATATATAATAATAATAATAATAATAATAATAATAATAATAATAATAATAATTATTATTATTATAATTATTATTATTATTATTATTATTATTATTATTATTATTATTATTATGGATACTTATTTGTATCGCATAATGTATAAAAAGGAGACGTGAATAAATATAATTGCTTTCTGATACCAACTAAAATTATATAAGCAATGATATACCACTATGAGTTCTGAAAGCGATAGTGGTGGTTTTTAGCGATGAAAGGAAATCTAGGGCAAAGGATAGTATGTATCTACGATTAAGTTTTAGGGCGGAAAGTAGAGATGGTAGAGAGCCATTAAAGTGGAAATATACTTTGGATTATAACTTTATTTATAATTATTTATAATTAAATTTAATCAGTCTTAATTGTTAGTAATGAAGATTATGATATTCTCTCAAATTTCCACTTTTGGCATTTTTTATGTGTTTAATAAAAAAGAAAATTTCTTTTTTATTAAAATAATATCGCATAGTTTGTAGCAATTATGGTTAATTGTTGCTCGATCGACGGTTAGTTGGTAATCACTACGAGTTAAAAAGTTATTGTACGGATGTGGAAGAAAACGGTTATACTTGATCCGGTATACTGGTGATTTCTACAATAGAGGATTGAGAAGGGTGAGTGCTATATTTGAACACAATGAAACAAAAAGTTTCAGTGATCGATTTTGAGATGGTTTCGAGAGAATACTAATAATTGCCTACTACTTCAGCGCATTTGTGCGATAATAAAAAAATATTTGTGATTTGTTAAACGTACCTGCTGTTCTTGAATAGCTTTTTCTCTGTTGTTTGGTAAGTATGTTGGGCTTAATACTGTCCTAAGTTGCTGTTCCACTTGAACAACCTTTTGTCGTAATTTTTGTATTTCCTGAAATAAAAAAAAATTTGCGCATTCTACTAAGAATCTCGCAAACGAATAAAAGGATCCATTATCATTAAGAGGTCATGTATCTGACCTGTTGATATTGATCGATCTGATCCAAGCAGAGCTCCAAGGATGCAGTCTCTTCTGTCACGGTTTTATAAAAAACTTCTAATTCCGAGAGTAATTCTTCGGCAATTTCGGTTATTTTTTTGTCTCCACCGATTCCAGATCTGAAGTGTACTCGAAGTTTTTCGATGGATATTTTGATTTTAGTTTTTTGTATTGTTATATCGCTTAGCATTTTTTCCCTAATAGCATGTTGATCGTGCAAAGGCTTTTTCTTATTTTGTGGCGACTCGAGTATCTGCTTAGCCTTTTCTATCCAACTTTTAACTTCTTTCATCTTTCTTTCACATTGCTCCCACTCTTCGCTAGTTTCTTGCAACAAAGCGTTCTAAAATATAAGGTATTTAATAAATCTATAGAGCCCGATCTTAACCTATTAATATCGATATCCTAACGTAAGAAAAAAAGAAAGAAATTCGAAGACTAACTCTTTCCAATAGTTGTCCTTCGACTTGTATTTTAGCTTCCTCTGCCTCAGTAAATTTCTCCGGTAAATCACCAGTGGTTGTTACTTGACGAATATTGTCTAGTTCTTTTGCCATATCGCTTAGATTTTTGTTTACTTGCTTACAGCTTTTTACAGCAGTCTGCAATACGAGATGTGACATACCGATTATCATAGCTAAGAATTCCTACCAATGGATATTAAGAGAGAGAGAGAGAGAGAGATAAAGAGGGGGAGAGAGAGAAAGAATGTCTATTTCGGTCCATCGAACGTACCGAATATTCGTGTAGCCTTTGTTTGGCCTGAACGAGGGTACTGAGTTTGAGTGGTTCTGTTAGGAATTGCTTCTTTTCTTCCGTCCAGACCCTGACAGTGTCGTAAAGTGTAAGGAACCTTTGCCATGCATCCAATGTGTCGCCAACAATTTGTCTCTTTTCATCGAGCAAATTTCGTACTTGTCCTAACTGTTCGCTCAAATCGTTAATTGTTTTTTCGATTAATTCTTTTTCGGCATCGTCTCTCGTGTTCTCAATGATCACACGACCATTTTTCGTTAATCGTTCGAGCTTATCCGTGACCGGGCCCAGCTCATTCTGTATTTGTCTAAGACTTTCCCTAAGTGCAATCGGTTCTATAGACCTATCTTGCACTTTTATTTCAGCTTGTCTTACCCAAGTCTGGATCTCGTCTACGTCGGTCAAATAATCCGACCTAATGGTCCTAGCGCGTTTAAGTTCTCTCTGTTTCTCATCCATTGCCTGTGCGGTTGCCTCAGCACAGAGCTCGAGAGCCGTTAAATACTGAGAAAGATCACTTGGTATCAGCTGCTGGCTAACTTGGTACCGCGCCTTAGTGTTTCCAGAAAATTTCTTTGCAGTCTCAACAAGATCGTCGAGGTGAGACTTCAATTCCTTCACTTCGTTCTCGGCTGTTTCCTGATCAGCGAACACGTAGAGGTTCGTTGCGCTGCTTCGAGCTTCGTTTAAGACCTTACGTAGTCTTTCGATTTCACTTTCTATACTCTCGAGTTCCTTTAAATTTTCCTCCGCTTTCTTGGATTTCTCTCGTAATGAACCAACAAGTCTGTAATGAGTATATCAATATGTTTCACCTTTCAAATAATGATTATATGAGCCTTGTTATTTTATTGCTCGTGTTTCTCTACATCGATTGATATGAGGAATGATATTGAAAAAGACAAATTTATCGTTGTCGTATTTTCTTCTTGATCGCATTAAAATTAATCGTGTATTATACATATGCATGATTTCTATATCGATATATAAGTGAAAAAGCGAGCAGAAAAAGTATAAATGAAAAATGCCTGGAACGATCGGTGGTGGCTTTAAGACGTTAAGTTAGCCGGAACGAGGGACAACAAATTTAGAATCGGAAATGCGTATCGCTACTTCGTCTTCGGCTGGCTTGATTCCCAGAGCCAGAGACGGGCGCGAGAGCTGAGATAGCTTTGGCTAAAAGTAGATGAACGAACTATGTATATCGAACCGAGAGAAGAAAGAGAGAGAGAGAAAGAGAAAGAAAGAGAAAGAGAGAGAGAAAGAGTTTTCAGAGCGACTCTAAATGTTCCGTCCATTTCCGTAATGCTTATGAAAATCTTTTCAACCAAATTTGTCATGAAAAAAATACGTTTCTAAATATTTTAATATAAATATCTTATTCTATTCATAATTATTTATTTTTCGAATAAACGGTTATAAGAGAAAGAAAAAAAGTGCAAGCTAATTTTTAATATAAATCATTGCCAATCAAAGTGGGGTTTTTTATTAATACAGATTCCCCGATTACTAATTTTATTTTTTACAACGATGATGGTGTCTTAAAAAAGTCTACAAGATTATATCATATACTATACTTGTCGTGAAAATCTATTTTTCGAAAGATGTCGGAAATGCCGTAATGCTTATGCGTGTATACGTGCTATGACGAAGCGTACGATATAAAAATAGATTAGATCGGCTAAAGAAGTTTCACAAAATGACACAACAGTGGCAGAAACACGAAGAGCAATATGACGGAATTTAAGTCATATCAGCTTCTTGAATTCGATTTGCATTATCTGAATCGATACAATGTTGTTAACGATCCTTGTTCTTATAATTTATATTCTTCACAACGCAAAAAATTTTTGTCACTTTCATCAACCCAAAATGAGAATATATTCTTTCATATATAAGTTAAAAATAATTTTTTTTTTTTATATCGCAATGAATCAGTACCATAGAAATGTTTCTAGATGTTATGTATATAAATTTGCAATTCATAATATAAGTACTTAATATTATTTCGTCGATGATTTCATGTCGTTAATATGCTTTGAATTTTCTAAGAACCGGTGATGTTAACTTCAGCACATGAATAAGTACTTATATAAATCGTAATGTAAATATATATACTAAATTATTTTCCATATAATTTTAAACAATTAACGATTTCTTTTATTTTTATTCTCTTGGTAACCGTTTAAAGGATGTATATCCACGTGGCATTGCACTGGGATCAAATTTCAACGAAGGGATTCATTGCTGTGATTTAATCAAAAGAACATGGATTGTTTCATCGATAACGAGATACATCTTATTATTGTCAGCAATATAAGTAAATGAAAATAATAATGAAAAAAATGAAAAAAAATAAAAAAATAAAAAAAAAATAGAAAATATTTTATGTACTTTCGTATTATATCATATTTATGTACGTTATTAATTTATAATAATAATAATAATTCTTCCGATATTACACAAATTCTTTTGAAAAAAAAAGAAATCTTTTAAATGATATATCCGATAAAAGAACGAATGTGTTTGAAAGTTCCAACAGCATAGTTTTGATTCATGACGTAAAAATATACCGCACTAACACTCGTGTGTCACGATTCGTGTGAATTTGAAGAAAACGATGATGACATTCATAAAAAAGTATTATATGTATAATCGCGACGGATTATTATTCTTTTTTTTATTTTAATCTTCTCTATTATCTTTCATTTATCCCTACCTCTTTCCCACGAAATATATGTTCACAATTTGCAAAATATGAACCACTAGGCATTTCACCCCCACCCTACTCTCCTTATCCTCTCTTTTCTCCTTCTCTGAAATATATATTAATTCTTGGAGAATACTATGGCGCGGCACAATCAAGTTAAACAGCAACGGTCGCGGTTCGGAACGTTATTAAGGGTACGATGCCATACTCGCGTTGAATTTTCGCCGCTCTGCCTTGACGAAGTAAGTTACAACGCATGCGATCTGGCTTTAAAGGCCAACTCGGCTGGCCAAGAATGAAAACGGAAGACGGGCCATGATGTATGTGTGCCTGTGTCCTAAGAATAATATGAACTAAACAAAAAAAAGAGATGGGAAATGCAAAAGAGAATGGAGGAAGATTTTCGATGAATCGTTTTATACAAAACGAATATATCGATGACTACTATACATTTATATATATAATATATATACATATATATATATATATATATATATATATATATATATATATAGCATAGCAATATATATATATGTATATATATATGTATATACGAATATATATATATATATATATATATATATTGCTATGCTAAAATAAGATATAAGATGATTCATATAGTCAAAGAGTATGTAATAATATATTACGAAAGAAAATTAATAAATATTGTATTAGTGCATCGTCACGAATAACGATTGTTGTGCATCTTCATATATCTTGCGTTGGAATTTAAAAATCGGACAGCAATGACGTATCTATGTCTCTTGTTGTTGATGGTATATATATTTTGAGTTTAGGTAATCAATAGTATATGTATTACGTGGAAGACCGACAAATAAACTGATTATCTTTCTAAGAGGTTTTGTATAATTATTTGCAATACTTGTCCTACTATTTCGAATGAAACATAGTGTCTTGCATTCGAAAACATTCGATCGTTGCTTCGAATGTTCACTTAATGCATTGTTATAAGATAAAAAATAACGGTCATCTTAATTCCTCACGAAAATTAGTTTGCCAGAGGCAAAGATTGAACGAATATCGATTAGTTGCTATAATCGCAGCGATTGTAACGCGCGTTTTTCTTTTCTTTTATATATTAAATAGATGAAATATTTGAAATCATTTCTGAAATGAAATATATTACGATTATAAAAAGATTGTATAACAAAAAAGCTGAAGCTAAATACACACTCTTCATGCACATGCCATACTGCTCCTGGACATATTTTGCACTAATATTTTTCGAATTTTCTGTAAATTATGACAATGAAGTTGCAAATAATTATTATAAAATAATATTATTTCTTGATTGAAATTATTCTAAACGTACCTTAACCATTTTTCGATCACACGATTATTACGAATTGTGCAATTCTCGCGTATATTGCTAAAATTGGCAATGATTTTACTTCTTTTTAAGTTCTGGTGCCAGAATTACCAATATAAATGACAAGAATCACAATACGTTTAAACATAGTATAGTACGGTAAAATATCACGAATGTTTCTTGGTTAAAGTCACAACTTATCTGGATGTAGATAATATGATTTTTATCGAGATTATCTGTGTAAACATACATTATTAATATCGAGCGTGATATAAGAGTATATCAAGTAATAAACTATGAAACTTTATGTTTAAGTAATTTAATGATTTGGAGTCGAACGAGTCCATGTATGGAGCGTACCAAAAAAAAGGAACAGAAAATTAGATTAAAAAAAGAAATGTCATTCTGACTCACGATTCGACGGATTTTTGAAGATTTTTGATGCGCTCCTCGAGCGCACATGCCGGCGGCTGTGTGAAGGCTGCGAGGTATACAAGTACTGATCCGGCTAATGCTTGTATCTCTTCTGTTGCAGGTCTAAGCTTATCAGCGTCCGTAATTGATGCCTGATAGGAGAATAAAATGATATTAATTAACAAAATTATGTTTCAATTTTTATTTTTGAATATTTAAGAAATTTTCGGATCCCAATTAATCGTCAATTTTGATATTATCCAAATAGAATTATAATACTTACATTCAGAGCTTTATTAATATCTTGTAAATGTTGTTTGGATCGAACTACAGTATCGATGAGTTTGTTCTTTTCCTCTATGGCGTTTAATCGAGCCTCGACGTGAGAGTAATGTGTTTCCAATTCTTCCCAATGTCTTGAAAGAGCTTCAAGAGCGTCTCTACGGCCTTCTAAACCAGAAACAAGTTCTTTCCATTCGGTAGTTATCTCCGATAATTGATCTTCTATTTTCTTCTTGTTTCTAGGATTTGCCAGATGTAGAACTTCTCGGCCGCGTTCGTTTAACAAGTCTAACTCGAACTGTTGATTCTGAGAGAAAGAGTAAAAAACGATATCAGACACGGTACTTTGCATTGCCAAGCACGACTAACTGGCGGTTGAATAATAATAATTCTGATCCACTGGTTTGCCTTGTGGATGACATCATTCTCAAGCTTGACATCATCGGAGAAAACTTCCGAGTGAAATGTCATTGCACCATTCTGTTTATTAACAAAATTATCCAAACATCACTGACACATTCGATAGTATTCGTCATTAATGACCTCGAGACCCGCTTTATATATGCTATCATCGAATACTTATATAAAGATAAATAATTCAGTATTGCTTTTTTAAGTATAATAAATGCTTGGCATTGACCGAAATTTTTACTATACGTTATATGTAATCGACGATTCGTACTACATTCTCTTTTTAGATTAAAACGACTTCTCTCTCTACTTCTAAGAATTATATTTACATTTTAAATACAGTACGGATAAAAAGTGATGTCATCTACAATTTCGAATATAGGAGTTAAATAATTTCGTTTACCTGAATATCATTTAATGCATGTGTAATCTTTTGAATATTAAACTGTAAGCCGGCTAACGTTGTGACAGGTTCATCCGTGAATCTTGTCCTAGCTATGACAGCACGTACACGTTCCAAGGTTTGACTGTAATCTCTCCAAGTCTCTGCACCTTGTTCCATACGAGCTCGTTGAGATCTAGCCGTATTTAATGTATTCTTCAACAGTTGAGTATGTTGTTGTTGTTCAGCGCTTAGTTCCTCTTGTTCAGAACTATTCAAGGAAGGCCATATTTTATCTGCTGCTTGTTGGATTTGTTGAGAGACCAGTTCGCGAATCGAAGATTCGGTACTAAAGTATATCTGAAAGTACAAAGTAATGATTACTTCAGAAAGTTCATTGATATATTCGTATATATCAAAGTAAATTTATTCTTACTTAAAGAATTGTGAGTTAATATAATTCCATCGATTACTCACTTTGTGTTCTTCCAAATCGCTAAGAATATTCTCAAAATCAAGTCCGGTTTTATCACTTTCAAGTCGAATCTTAGCTTCCTTAACCCAATAATGTAATTTTTCGGCTAGCTGGGCATAATTTAACCTCATTTCTAAGTTACTTTCAATATAATTTCCACGTTCCTTCATTTCTCTGGGCAATGAAGTTAATAAAGACATCGCTTCACTAAGCATTTCTTTCAGAGATCCTGGCATGCCTTCCTCGTGTCGTACAGAATCTTTCAAAGTTCGAATTTTGTCTAAGTATTCGTTTATGCTATCACAAAGAATTTTGTGCTTATTTATTTCCTCTTCCACACTTAACGGATTTCTTTCCAGAAGTGGCCTCGACTTAACTTCTTTTTCCTTGCTCTCTATCCAATCTAAAATATTAGCCAATTCATCGGCTAATCTTCTATGTTCTGCTGCAGCTAGCTCATGTTGCTCCCTTTGTGTTTCTACGGCTCTTCTAAGACCCTGGAGTTGTTGTTTAAGTGTTTGCAATTGCTCTGTTATAATATTTCTATCAACGGCTGAACCTTCAGCAGCTATTTGTTGTCCTTTGTCTGTAGCACTTGCAAGTGTAGCTTCACATTCTTGTATTTTTAATATAGCATCATCATACCTGTTAAAATGAATATTATTATATATATTATTTATTTATTTGTAATAAATAAAGAAAAACTGTATTTCATAAATATTCAATATAAAAATACCTTTTGATTTTGTCCTCTGTTGTTTGACCAGATTTTTCAATATCTCGAATTATTTCAGTATACTTAGCAATGAAAGTAGTAATTTCACCAACCAATGCTATAAATTGTTGCCGAAGAAGTAATAGTTGTCTTAATTTTGCAATTTGTGCTTCTAGTGCTCTTATAAGATCATCTTGTTGAGCAAGAATATTTTGAAGATCGCCGACATTAGCTGATTGTAAACCGGACAATTTTGATTTATTGCTCTTAAGATCATCTAATATTCTTTCATAAGCTACTAACATTCCTTCAACATCTTCAATACGTGCACCAATCGGTTTATTCAAATCATGAAGTTCTTTTTGAATATCTGCCATAAATTGTACTGCTTCAGCAACACGTGCTGCCGCTTTTTCAGCTTCGTCAATTTTTTTCTGCAGATTATAAGCCCGTTCATTTATTACATTAGCCACTCTATCGTGAGCTTCTTTCATACATTTTAACTGTTCACTCAGTTCCTGTTTATCTGCATCACTGATAGTCGGCAAAATAGATTTTCCTTGTTGAGTTATTTTTTCTATATTATCTTCATATTCTTTGGCTTCTTTCTTTAGTCGATCGTACTGAAAAAAAGTCGTAAAACAAATTAATAAATTATCATATGAAATAAATTGAAACAAAAAAATAAATAAGAAATAAATGCATGTCACAAAAAAGAATTCTAACGTAGAAAAAATAAAAAATACCTTAGCAAGCTGTTCACGAAGAACATCAACGCTTGACGTTCGTAATTCTAACGAAGTAGCAACTTCTGCTTCATTAATCCACCGCTGACATTTGTCCATTTCATTTTCGAATGATTTACGTCCTTGAAGAAGATCGTTAAGGGATGCTTGCTTTTCTTTACCTTCTTTCTTCAGTTCTTCATAATCTTTGTTTAGATTATCTAGTAGAGCTTGTAATCGAGCACTGTCTTCTGCATTACATTCTTTCAACATATTGTGTCCCTGTTTTATAATATTATTTAAATTTCCTTCATTGAATGATGCAATTTCAGATTCTAAACTGCTGTGCTGTGTAATTTCCTGTTCAACTTTCGAGGCTTTAAGTGGAAGGTATCCGCTAAGCTTCTTTAATTCATTACTCTTATTTTTGATCCATGTACGAGCTCGTGCAAGATCAGTTTCAAATTTGTGACATGCATCTACGGCGGCACTTGCAATAGAAATTTCTTCTTGCAAAATGGTGCGTAATTCAATATGTTCTCCACGCAAAGCCTTAGTATCATCTTCTAATTGCTGTTGTTCACTAATCTCCAATTCATTTTGCATATTTCCAACACGTTTTTCAAGTGTGTCCACTATCATTTGTTTGTTTTCAGCTTCTTTTAATATACCCTGGAATGGCATGTATGATTTATGTTAAGGATATATTTAATACATTTACCGTCAAGTGTATTTTTGACTATGCTACTTAAATTATATTATATTAAAAAGATAATAGGATATTGAATTGCACAGAAATATACAATGATGTGTAACATATTTATTTGCCTGTCCCCCATTGGTGACGGTTGCGGAGTAAGTAAGGGGAATACGAATATTATAAATGAAAAGTTTAGTGATTGTCAACAGTGAGGACCAGGGCAATGAATGTATTAAGAAACAATACAAAAATCGTTAAAATTAAACTTAACTATATTATATTATGAATAACTGAACTAATTTATTAGAAATTATTGTTAATTACCTTAAGAATAAGCAATCTTTCTTCTGCTTGTTTACTTTCGTATCCAAGAGGCTCGGTTAGTCTAGCGTGTTCTTTTTTCTGTTCAATCCAATTTCGGTTCTCTTCGATTTCTTGACGAGTTGCTTCGATACCTTGAGCTGTCATATCTAGAACTTGCGTTTTTCTTTGCAATTTTTTACTTATGTCCGTGTATCGTCTTTCTACAAACTTGATCTGTTCTTCGATTTGTTGTGAGTCCAAATTACTAACAGAATCCATTACTTGATCGCCTAATTTCTTAACTTCGTCTATTCTGTCTGCACCTTGGGATTCAAATTCACCGATGATTTCTTTTATATTTGAAATTTTTTGACCGATTGTAAAACCACAACCCTTTTCAATACCATCAGCTTTCTTTGAGAGAGTATCAAACCATGTTTGAATATCTTGCACTTGATTTCTATATTTCTGTATTAGATCTTGTGATGCCTGTTTACCTGCAATGGCATCAGTCAATTCTGCTTCTAATTTATTTAGTCCATCTTCAACTTCCTGTATTTCCGGATGTGACGCTAATTCTGTTAAAGCACGAATACGACGTTCATTAACATTTACTAACAGCTCATTCATTGTTTGTAATTCAGCCTGTGCTGCCTCAGCACGTAATTTTGCTGGCCTGGATTTCCATTCTGCGCAAAGTGCTCGTTGCTGATTTATCCACATACATAATGCATTTTTCTGCCTAGTTTGTTCCTCGAGATCGCTTACTATTTTTGTCATATTTGTTAAGTGTATTTGCATTTGATCGATAAGATCTTCCAATCTCGTTCGAACTTCAACTTCTCTAGGTGCAATTTGAACCGGTGGTGCATCTAAAGGACTGCCAGGTCTAGAAATGCAAGCTGCTGCTGCTTCGCAAGCTTCGACTGCCAATGCGAGACGCGTTTTCTCAGTTTGTAACTTATTATGTAATATTCGTGCCTTTTCCAGACTTTCTTCCGCTTCGGCAAGAGTATCTACGGGAGCTTCTAATTCATGAGCAATTTCAGGTTGATAGGAATCTAAATTTTTTGCAATACTTTCCAACGTATTTTCATATTCTTGGAATTTCGTTAAAGAGTCTGCTAATCTACCTTTTATTTGTAATGCAGTGTTTAATAAAGAATTGTAACTATCTTGAACATTTTGTAATTGCGTTTCTATGGTGGTTTTGATTTCTTTATTTACTACTACATATTGATTGATTTGTCCTTGACCTTTAACTTTTAAATCATCGATTATCGTTTGATATTTTTGTATTTCCATTAATAATGACTCATGTTGTTTCATTTGAGCCATTGTTTGTTCTTTACTAATTATATAGAGTGAGTTATGAGCCATTAATTGAAAAGATATTTGCAACAGCCATTTTTCTGTGTCCTGTAATGCTGCATGATATGCATTGTATTCTTTCATTTCATCTTCTATCGATTTTTTCCTCTTGTTGACACGATCACCTAAAACTTGCCACTTTGTCAAAAGTTCTTTTGATCGTTCTAACGTTATGTTATTTTCTGCCCAGTTTGATAATTCACCAGCTTCTTCCATTAAATTATCCAGGTCAGTTTTTTTACTATGAACCGTTTCTTGTATGTGTTTGTATCGCTCAAGTAAAGTTTTCATTTCACCAAATTCTCCCTTCGTACTTGGTAGATCTTCCGTTGATACGTAAGTTTCATCTAACCATTTCTTAAATTTATTATATGTTTCTGCATGATCCTCCCATCGGCTAAGGATTGATTTCACTCTAGCTTGATTCGTATTTAGATCCATAGTCAACTGTTCCCAGTTTGATCTTAGATCAGCCATATCAGTTCGTAATTGATCTTGTTGTTCTGGTAACGCTGTATTAATGGCTTTCACGAAAGCATTTTGTAACGTTGATAATAATTGTTGGCCTTCGGTAATTTGTGAAGCTGCAACCTTAAGGATTCCTAGTTTATCCTTAGCCCATATTTCATCACCAGTTCCAACACAATCTTCCACAGATTTCTGTACGGAGTGCAACCAATCTTCCATTTCTTTTTTAGCTTTCAAAAATTCAGTATGATCTGATAGATTCTTTTCAACTTTGGAAACCAAACTTTGTGCATCAGTGAGTAAGGATGTATACGCCGATTGCAGTTGTACTGTTTTATCACGAGCTAGGCTCCAAGTACTCATTTCCAATAAAGCTTCGCACTTGTCATTTAGATCTTCGAGAATAGGTTTTTGTTTAATAGCTTCATCGACTAATTGTTTGCACCGTCCTAAATCCGATTGCGTTTTATTATCTTTTGATTGTTCATCGATTACTTTCTTCTGAAAACAATCAATCCATGCTTTCATGTTATCCAACGCAGCTGTAAATTGAGACCACGTTAATATACAATTATTAAGAGTTTCATGCGAATCGTGACACTGAGATTGCAGTAACGACCAATCAGTTTGCAATTGTTTTACGTCTTGCTTGATGGAATCTTGACCTTCTGTGCCAGTAGTAGAGATTACAGCATCCCTTAATTCAATTACTTTCGAGATTAGCTTATCTCCATTTGGTAGAGAGAAAATAATTTGATTCACTTTGTTTTCACGTTCCAATACCTGTCCTTTATCTCCATGAGTATCGCTATGTTGTTGAAGTTCGAGTTTTGTTTGACGTATCCAATCAGCAGCTTCGTTATATGCTTGTTGAAATTTCTCGTGATCCTTTATCTGATTTTCCAATTTACCTATTTTATCGGCGATAGATTGTTTAACTGCTTCATACTTTGTGATGGTTGACTCATAAGGACTTCTCTGTATAGTTGAATCTTCAGCAAGACGCGTTTTAAGTCGATTAACAGAATCACTATGACCTATTATATCTCTTAAAATCGTTTTGAATTTTTCTAGAAGAGCTCGTTTTTCACTGAGATCATTTCTATAAATTTCTTCAGCTTGAACTTTTCCTTCAATTTCTTCGATCCAATCTGTGATCAATCTATGAATTTTGTTCAATTCTTCAAGTACACCTGCTCGTGCCGACAATTTTTGTCTAGCAATTTCAACGTCGGCTAACAATTTATCGAATTCTGCTTTAAGATTTTCAGTATCTTCTTGAATTTTTACCGCACCGTTCTGTTCGGTGTTCATAATAACTTTTTCCTTTAATTCCAAAGCATAACGCAATTTATTTTGACCCTGTTCTAAAGTTTGCCGTATGGTTTTGCACGTGTGTAATTTATTATTAACTTCTTGCAAAGTACTAGGAATCTCCATACATTCTCCTAATTTGTTTCGAGTTCGTTCAATCCAATCTTCACATTCTTGATGTAATGTATTGTGTTGTTGATGTTCTTGATAATGTAATTCCAAACGTCGCATAATTTCTTTGGCAAGCGATAAGAGAGCATTATATTTCGTTGTCAATTGAGTAACTGCATTTGAAATTCGTGTGTCGGCACAGGTTTCGACCAACATTTGGGCTTTCATATTCAAACGATCGAGTTCCTTTTGCCAATCAAATAAAGTTTGCAAATGAACTTGGAATTGTTCGAGTACGTTCTTCTTTTCTTCAAGACTGTCCTGTAACTTATTGAAAGATTGTACTAGTTGTTCGGTTTGAGTTAACCATTCCGCAGCTTCAGAAAATTGTTCTTCATACTGAGTCCATTTTACTATAGCCTCTTCTAATAATGATTTTGTAGTACCCAGTGAGTCTACGTAATTGTCATATTCGTCTTGTAACAAAGCTACTTCTTCTTCGATAATTTCTTTATCCTCAGCATCAGCGATTTGACAAGCAGCATTACCTCTTTCTAAAGCTTTCTCAAGTTTTTTCTGTCCTTCTGAAAGTTCACACTGCAATACCTTCAATTGAGTAATTTTGCTGGCTAAAGATTCTTTATCACCTGTAGGTTCCGAGCATTTACCTAATCTTTCTTTTGCAACACGTATCCATTGTAAGAATTCGTTACCACTATCAATGAACGCTTGATGTTGTTCAACGGTTTCTTTCTGTTTTGCATAAAGTTCTTGGGCATGCTTACTTAAAGTTTTATATTTAATAGATATCTCTGTCGCTGGTGTAGCTTGTCGAAGGTCTTCTGCTTTCGTTGCTACTGATTGTATCATCGGTTCGAAGGCAACGATGTCTTGTACGATACTATTAGTCTGCCGTAAATTTGCTTTTCTCTCGCCAATCGCTAAAGAACTCAGACCAGCTGAACCTTTTTTAGCTTTGGAAACTTTTTGTTCCCAAACTTGTTGCAGTTTCGCTTCACGATCGTTGATCCATTGCTGCAATTGCGAGTAAGAAGAGCTATAGTCAGCCCATTGTAGAAGACTAGTTTCTAAATGTACTTTTGTTGTTGATATTTTCTTAACTAAACGTTCCCAATCATTTTGTATATCTTTCAATTGTGAGCTAATTTCTTCTCGACCATCAGAGCGTGTGTTTCTCATCACTTTTTCCCCACAATTTATTGTCAGATGAACTAAATTCTGCCCTTCTTCTCGTTTCCTTAACAATTCTTGTATTTTGTCTAATCTATTTTGCAATTCGTTGCGACTACTGGTCGATGCTGCTTCTGTTCCTTGTCTTATAATCTGCTTTGCGTTTTCAATCCAAGCATGTGCCTTTCCGAGATAAGCTTCGTAATTTTCGTGCTGTGCTAAATTAGTCTCTACTTTATTTAACACATCTTTAGCAAGATTTACTTGCACTTGATACCGTGAATTTAAATGACGAAGTTGATTATTAACGTAAGTATCCAGATGAGAAGAAAGCAAACCAGAAGCTGTTTTGTTAAACTTGTCGATTTGTTCTTGACCTTTCATCAAATTGTTTAATATTTCCTTGACCTCTTGTACTTGCTTTTGTTTTTCTTTAACATTAGGTAACAAAGCATTCTTCTGCGCTTTAATAAGAATATCAAATTGTTGCAACCAATCGCTAAGTCTTTCATATTCGTCCTTGTAATCGCGCCATTGACTGATAGTAGATTCTAGTTGATCCTTTTGCTGTTTGATTTCTGTACATAATAAATATATTTTAATTATTACAATATCTAATAAATGCATTATATAAGGAAATAAAAATATAATCTTACCTTTAAATAATCCTTCAAAGCTTTCAGTAAGAGCACGAATTTCATTCTTGATAACTTCTTGACCTTGAACATTTGTACTAACACATACAACTTTTCCAGTATGTTGTAAATGTTCTACCAATAATTCACCTTGGGCTTTCTTATTTAAGAGACTCTCCAAAGGTACAACAGCATTTTCTATAGCTAATTTATCACTTAGTGATTTCTGTTTTATCGCTGGTATCTTCTCACGCGCTCGATTGAGCCAAGTAATCAAATTATCATGAGCTTCCTTATAAAGTCGGTGATCCTTGTATTGTTCTTCTCGTTCTGCTAATAGCGATTTGATTTTTTCAAAGAGCATGTCAAATCGGCTCAATATATCTTGTGCATGAGAAGCAGCTAATCCTTGTTGTCCACTCGCAATCATTTCAGCAACTTCAGCTTTCAAACTCTCAACTTCTATGTTCTCGCATCTAATTTTCTCTTCTAAAGCTTTTATACGTTCTAATTGACTTCTTTTTTCTGTCATTGTCGCTTGGAATTGAGACATTTCTTCTAACGATGTTTGCATATATTCGTTAGTCTTATTAATCGATTGAATTTGTTCGAGTAAACCAGCCCACTTGTTAATAGAATCATCTAAATTCGTTTTCGTCTCAAGCATTTTTGATGCTACAGCACTCCATTGTTCTTGAAGATGCGCTAATGATTCGTTTATTGCTTGATGTCCATTTGGTGCTGTATTTGCCAAAACAGCTTGAGCTAATTCGACGATATTTTGAACTTTAGCAAATCCATCCTCTTTATACAGCAATATATCTTGCATAGTTTCCATTTTATTTTCTAAATCTTTTTGTGATGATGCACTTAAGTCTGAACAGTAAGCTAATTTGTTCTTTATGTCGTTTAACCATCTGCTACATTCGGATAATTGATTATCAAATTCTTGATGTACAGCAACAAACTGATGCCACCGATTGTTTAAATCTTTAACCTTGCTTGATATTTGTTGATATTTGATACTCAATTCTGATATATGAGATGTTCGCGAAGATACATTTTTATGTAACTGCTGTGCTCTTTCCGTAACCGCATCAATTTCAAGTTCTTTAGCACGTACTTCTCCTTGAAGTGATCGTAATTTTTCTAATTGGTCTTTCTTTTCTGTTAAAGTTGATTTCAGATCTACAGCATGAAGTTTTGTATCTGTATCCTTGATCCAAACTAGACATCTTTCTTTTAAATTCTCAAATTCGTTCCATTGTTGCAATTTATTTTCTAATGCTTCGATAGTCGATTTGACAGCAGATATTAAACCTTCCCATTCTTGTTGAGACGAATCAATCTGTGATCGTATATTTACTTGACCTGTTTCTAAAGTACCAGGTATCACTTTTTCTCCAAGAATTCGAATTTGTTGAACTCTTGGTTCCTCTTCCGGAAGCGTATGTAAAAGATTTTGTAAACGATCTAAATTCGTATGTAGAGATACTCGTTCTAATTCAGTGTCTCCCCAAAGATTAACAGCATTATGAGTTGCATCCAGCCATTCGTGTGTATCTAATACAGCCTTACTATATTGTTGATGATCGCTAACGATTCCTTCATATCTTTCAACAAAAGTTGCGGCACGTTTCAATACTTCAGCATGCCTACGTTTTAATTTGTTTATTATGGAATCAATTTTGTCTGTACGCTCTGGAAGATTATCTGCTTTATCTGAAAGATCAAGCAAATCCTGTTGATGCATTTGAGCGTCGTGCAAGAAAGTACGATAAATTTGCAATTGTCCTCGTTTTTCATCTAAGGTAGTTTTTAATTCGATATCTTCTTTTAGTTGAGATTCCGCATCTTTTAACCAATTTTCAAAGGCTTCGCTACACTCGTCGAAACCTGACCATTTTGCGATCCTAGCTTGTAAGTCACGTTCCGTTGAAGCAATATCATCGTATAATCCTTCTAAAACTTGTTGAAGGTCCGATAACTGTTGACGTATGATTTCTCTACCTTCTACGCCAGTTGTAGGATATAAACGTTCACCGGTTTCGATTGTACTATTCAGTAAAGAGATTGCTGACGATTGTCGTCCTAAAAGTTCTTTTGAAGTATCAGCTTTTAAGATTAATTCTTGTCGTGTGCCACACAAATTATCAGTGACTGATTGATAACGGCCCCTTGCAGTAGCTAGCCACTCAGAACATTGTTTGTAACGTTCTAGATATGCAGTATGATCTGCGGTAGCTTGTTCGCATTTCTTCACGAGTTCCTACATTCAATAAAATTATGTTAATTCGGTTTTATCATCGTTAAATATATGTTTAAAAAATTTGTTCGAAAATTTACCTTAGCAGTTGTTTGTATTGATTGAAATCGAGAAGTGATCTGTTGAACGCTAGAAGAAAATCTAGTTTCGCCACTAATCTGAATCAAATCCGAAGAATCATATCTCATTTTATCGAAGTCTGCTTCATTTTGTCTGAGATTCGCAATTAACGACTGTAGCAAACAAATGAATTATTTAAATTAATTAATTTCTTACAGGAGAAAGCCATAGTTAACGAAATGATCATATCTTAAATATATTTACAAAAGTAGAATAATTAATACTGATTGACACCAATGTTGATGTGTTATACAAATGAGACATCATCATATATACGAGCGGTTAGTTATATTTTTACCATATTATACCAAAAAATATTAACGAAGCATTACTTCGAGTATCGTACAATATTTAATAGAGCAAACTATGCATTATAAATTAGTTCGAGCATTATAACAATTAAAAAAATATATATATAAAAATATACATGTATTTTATATACGTAAAAAAGTATGTTTTTAAATAGCTATTTATTGATTTTTTTTAAATTATTATTTACTATAACAGGAAAAGATAGCAAGAAAGAGTGATAAAAACAATTTTTTTTAGAAGCCTGCATCATTCACATTTTGCAGCCTGCAAGGCATTGCTTGTAGAGAATTCACTCTTACTTGTTCAAGGTGGTCACCAAGCGCCACCAATTCAATTACATCCGTATTCCGTGTTTCTGCAACCTTTTGTAGTTCCTAAGAAATTCCATTACAAATTTTGAATTAAACAAAATAAAAAAAAATTTTTCCAATTATGGATGTTGACACGATTCCTCTTTTATGCGTATTAATCTAAACTTTAATTAATGTAGTAAATTAGGATATATTTTCTAATGATAACTTACTTGATATTTTTCCAATTGCTCCTGTTTTTCTTCAATCGTATTTTTTAATGAATAATTCTTCAATGATGTTTCTGCATCGGCCAACCAAATAATGAGTTGTTCTAACAAATTTTCATATTCACTCCATTGTTGTATTCTTTCTTCTATGCAACTAATCACATCGCTAACTGCATTCGCAAAGTTCTTACTCTCAAATCTAACAAATGAAATATAAATGATTATTAACATTTTTTAATGAATTTATTCGTGGTCATTTAATTTAATTACCTTAAGTTTGCAACATCTCTTTTCATGCATTCATAATATACTTTTGGTGATAAACTGCTTGCACTTTGTGAGACATGCTCGGCCAAAACGTTTAATTTCAGTTCACCTTCATTTTGCTTATCCTGTATTTCGAGAACCTTAACTAATCTATTCTGGAGGGTAGTTTTATTAGCTGTATAATCGCTATAACTGGTTAATTGTTCCCACTGTTGTTTCTGATAATCCTGATATGCGCGTTGAAGATCTTGGAATTGTTGGAATATATCAAGAAATTCCTCTAAACTGGCTATCGCTTTTTGCGATCTATCTACTAATTTCTCATATCTGTCGGAAACCAAAGTTACTTTATCTTGAATATCTGACGGTGCTTGTGCAACTTGAATCAAAGCATAGGCTTTTTCGGAAATTCCTTCTATAATACGTTTATGGGCAAGGATTTCTTGATGTAAGGTCTAAAATTTCATCAAACATTAATTTCATTAAACAAATCTTTCCGTTTTTTATCAGAATTGTATTAGTACGTGAATACTTACTTTATTCTTCAATAACTTTGATCTGATCTCTTGTAATGAAGGCCACATTACTGGTGGATCCTGTTTTATAGCTCTTTCCATAGTATTCAACCAAAGAAGCGTTTGTTGCAAAGTTTCTTGATAGGTAGACCATTGTAAAGATTGAGCATCTTGTTTCTTTTGTTGTTCAACAATACCTTCTGCAAGACTATCCCATCGTTCTCGTACACGTCTTATTTCATGTCGGATAATTTCTCGACCTTGAGCTGATGTATCTGGCAAGATTCTTTCACCAGCTGTTGTTAATCCGGATAAACGATGTTCGGCTTGTTCTTTTTCAGCTAATAACATTTGCAAGCATAAAGCTTTTGCTTCAAGATTTCCACCTATGTCTTCTCTCTTCAAAGTAGCCAAACTTTGTTCTAATGGAGTAAGCCATACATCGATAGATTTCAATTTATCTTCGTAAGTCTGATGATCATCGACACTAGTTTGATAACGATTGATTACTTCTTTACTAAATGTATGAAGTAATTGATATCTGAAATAAATTTATATTTATTAATGAGTATAAACATATAACTATAATATATTTTTAAAGATACTGTGTTTTCTATTACCTGTAACTAATTTGAGAGATCAAGATTTTAATACGTTCGAGACCACTGGAATGCAATAAATTATGAGATATATCAACAAATGCATCGATCTCTTGTTCTTGTTTCAAAATTATGTCTCGTTTCTCTTTGAAAGCTTGAAGTCGAGCTTCTTTATCATTCAAAGTTGGTTGAAGTTGTTGATCTCTGAAAATAGCCTCCATTGAAGAGAACCATCGTGTATGAGCTTCTAACTGATCCTCGAAATCTTGCCATTTTCTTAAAGCAACTTTTTGCTTTTCTTCCACAGATTCTATAAAACAAGCCATGACATAAGGAATGATCTTACTATAATAAATTGATAAATATAAAAAATTTAATGTATAATAAAAAGAATACTTACCAATATCAGTCAGATATTGAGAAAGACTTTTTTCGAGACTACATACTTCTTTATTAATAAGTTCTTGTCCTTTCGCAGCTGTACTCTTCATCATGGCTGAACTAAGTTGCTTCAACTTTGCAAAATGTTCTGCACCTTGTATTTGATTATCTCTCAACAATGAAAGTGTAGTTAGACGACGAGTAATTTCACTTTTTTCACCAGTAATATCGTTACACTCAACCAGTTTTTCTTTTTCACCGTTAAGCCAATCGGAGAAGTATTTACATTGCAAATTAAAGCAATGATGTTTCTCAGCGCAATCTTCTAAATTCTCTAAGAGATGTTGAGATTTAGCGACGATATCGTGAAAAAGTTGCTTGATTGTTTGCAAATAAATATTTAAAGACGTATCCTTAGTTTGATCGATAAGTTGTTGTGCTTTATCACAAGCAGACTCGACTAAAGTTTGATGCGACATTATTTCCTGATGCATTATTTTATGATTTTGGAGCTGAGCTCTCTTCTCTTCTAAGGAAGATTTTAATTCTGTGTGTTGTTCCATAGCGCTCTCAACATCTCGAAGCCAAGCTGTTAATTGTTCTTGAGATAGCGTGAACTCAGCGAAATGCATCAAACACTGATCCAACTTTTGTGTAGCAGATTGTAGATCTTCTGAAAATGTATTCCATAATGTCCTTAAATCTCTCAACTGTTGTCTTACTATTTCGCGACCATCGGGCGATGTATGTGAATAAAGTTTTTCTCCAAGATCAATAATAGATTCAAAACGAGCATTTTCTTTAGTTCGCGTATCACTAAGATCTCGAATTGCCTTTTGTCTATTTTGTAGCAGTGAAAGATTACCTACAATTTCACTGTGCTTCTTTAATTCTGCTCGAACTCCAGTAATCCATTTCATCAATTCGTTATATTTTTCATTGAATGTACTATGTTCTTTTACAAATTGTTCGTACCGTGATACTGATTCTTTCACTTGATTTTTAAGAGATTGATATTTCGTAGCTTGTCGAGATATTCTTGTCGATAAATCTGAACTTCCTTCAATACTTTGACTTTTCTCTATAGCAGAACTAAACTCTGAACCCTTCTGTGCTATACATTCTTCTAAGTTCTTCAACTTTTGCAAATGCATACGTTTAGCTTCTTCCGTACTTTTCAAACTTTGATCTTTCAATTGACTATCCATTTGTTTCGTCCATGCTTCTAGATTTTCAACGACTTTCTCAAATTCAGACCATTGATTGAAAAAATGATTTAACTTGTCAGAGGTCGCTACACAACGTGCTAGGAAATCTTTCCAATTCTTTTTCTGCTCTTCGAAACCTTTGATCAAAGCAGCATGACCAGGAATCGAAGTCTGTTCAAGAATAATATTTAATTGTTGATTACAATCAGACAATATACGATCTCCTTCAGTTTTCTGTTGTAATACATTTTTAATCAAAGTTGTCTTGGATTTAGCAACGTCTCGTTCAACAGGAAGGTCCTCGATAAGAGGTGCAGTCTCGTTAATTATCGCGTTAATCCAATCGCGTGTCTTCTCAAAGGTTTGTAGATAAGATTCATGATTCGAAACAAATTTATCAGCGATTCTAATTCGATCTTCTACATTCCTTGAAAGTTTCTCGTAAGCTACAACAACACTGCTGAGCATTTCGTTAGCTTCATCATCCGGAGTTTTGCCAAGACGATCTTGAAGCTGTTGTAAAATATTTTTATGAACATTAACATCTTGCGCTATAGCTTTATACGATTGAAGTGCAAGCTTCTTTTCTTGAAGATTCGGTAAAAGCATCTGTTTATCGTCTAATTTAGATTCTGCATCGATCACCCATTGCTTCACTTGCGAATATTTATCTTCGAAGGATGATCGATGCATCATATCACTTTCAATTCGTTTATAGATAACATTAGCATGATCTGTCAAAGTATCAACACGATTACGTAGATTTCTGAGTTCAGTTCTAATAAACTCTCTGCAATCAGGGGTAATTCTTGCGAAAAGAGTTTCACCTAATTCTGCTGTATGATTCATAATGGCTTGACCAGCTTCTCTTTCTTCTGCAAAACTCTTTAATTCCTTTAATCGTGACTGATAAAATGTCATAGGTTTAGGACCACTAATCTCATCGAAAGCTTTCAATTTACGTTCAGCATTCTCTATCCAAGACTGTAATTCTGTAACACTTGCTGTATATTGATCTCTACTTTCTTTTAGCTCATATAATCTGTCCAAATATTGTGACAAAAATTTAAGTATAGATTGGTATCGGCTATCAAGATGTCCTACGTATTGTTTAACACGAGATTCAGGACTAACTTTGTTAATATCCTCACCGAGATCAATTATATTTTGCAAAACAGTATGATAATCCTTCACAGAAGTTTGTAATTGCTTGATTTCTTTAATTTTGTTTTCCATTTCGTTTATATTAAGTAATATAGAAGCTTCTGCTCTTATTCTGTTTTCATTCTCCTTTAACCAGGAGACTACGCTTTCAGATAGATTTTCATAACGTTGCCACAAGGAAACGTTATATTCTAAAACAGATTTGATCTTTTTATAACTTGCTTTTAAAGATTCCAATTCTACCGCAATCTTGTCACGCTCGATTCTTAGAACATTCGTGATTTCAGGACTCTCAACAGTTTCTAAAAGTTTTAATGAATTATCAGTATCATCTTTTCTTGCTTCGCAATCAGCAATACCAATTTCCACGTCCTTGAGAGAAGCCATTTTCACTTCAAGATTATAACGATCGCTGCTTTGTTCTGGTTCGCACCAAATTACTTTTTCTTTGTGAATTGCTACCATTCGTTGAAGAGCTCCAAATTTCTCGTTATATAGCTTCGTTAAAAATGCTACTAACGTTGCATTTACTTTATCAGCATGACTACTAACACCGTCTTTTCGTAATATTAAAGCTTGAAGTTCCTTGTGTAAAGAAGACTTGGATATTGTTGGATATTCCGATGTCGTTATTGTAAGATTTTCTTCGATTTTTGATAAAGTATAGTCGCATTCATTGAGCTTAGTTTTTAATTCTTGACATTTATTGATTCTACCAAGTATTTTCGTATTTTCTCCAGTTAAATCGTCGCATTTAATAATCTCTTCGCGAATTTTAGATATTAAATCGCTACATTTTTCGATCTCGTTTCTAATATTTTTCTCCTTTTCATTCAAAGTCATTGTCAATGATTTTAATTTTTCTGCTGCTTCTTTAACAACGTTAAATTGTTCATCCAACAAATTTCTTAAAGCATCTAATGTTGGTATATCAGTATTTTTATTTAATTTCTTTAGTTGTTCAATTTTGGTGATAATTCCTTGTTTAAACTGTAAATGAGCTGGCAATTCCTCGTTATATCTTATTAATCGCATTTGACTACTTTCAGAATCAAGTAAACATTCATGAGCAGATGTAAGTGCTTCGTTCGTGTCAGTAAGCCATCGTGTTAATTCATATTTTGCTTCTTCTATTTGTTTCCAAATAATTAATTGTGTTTCATAGAGTTGAAGTTTGTCAATAATGTTACTATAAGTTTCTTGATATTTTTTTCGATTTTCGTTAAAATTTGAAGTTACTAAATCTGATTTGAAATTGGGTAAAAGAGAAGCATCTTTCATAATCTGTTGAGCCTTACATTCCATTTTATCCAAAAATTGTTTTCCTTTCTTTAAAATCTCCGATGCTCTTTTATATTTATCCGAAGCTACTGTTGCTTGCGTTATGTCATCAGGAATTTCTTTCACACTTTGACATAATAAAGTAGATTCGTTCATGAATTTTTGTACTCTTTCTTCTGCCTCTTGATATTGTTTCCAATCATTGTCCATTTCAGCATATTTCTTTTTTTGTTCTTGAAGAAGTACGCAGACCTTTTCCCAATTGGCATCAACGTAAGACAAAACAACTTGAATGTTAGTCATGGCTCTTTGATCTTCCTGCATGAGATTGTCAGCTTCACAGTGAAGCAATTGTTTGTCAGGTTCTTTTCCTTGATGTATTTCTATCAATTGTTCAATTTTGTCTACTGCTGGTGCTAACTGATCGCAAGAATCAACATTGTCAATAATTTCTTGTAAACTATTTTGAGTTTTCAAGATATCTTCTGTAATTTTGTCTTGTAATTTTTTGAAATTATCCCATCTGGCGCCAAGAGTTTCCAATTTTTCACGTTTAGCTGATAATTCCATTTCTAAAACGACTGCTTTAGCTTCCAAATCGCTAACTAAAGCAGAAGCTGTAAGAGGATTCTCTTGTTTATCACGAATACGCACTTTCAAAGAGCTGTCTATATCACCTACTTGATCCTTCCATGTATTCAATTTGGAGTGTACATCTTGTAGTTCTAAAGCAAGTCTGTTTAAATCATTGACGCTTGGTTTACGGGCTTCAGCCTCGTATTTATAGTATTCTAATTGAGCTGTAGTTTCATTATACCAACTCATCAACTCTATCCATTTCTCTAAAATTTTTTTCTTCTGATGTAATTCATCTTCTAGGTCTTTGTATTTATCTGCTAAGGAAACGTATATCTCATCTAAAGCTGCGGCTTCTTGTTTTGATCCCCGTGTAGAGAGACGTTTAACTTCGTCATAAATAGCTGTGAAACTTGGCTGCTTCTCCGAATGTTCTTGAAGATAAGCGTGAATAGCTTGCAGTGTAGTATCAATATTATCAATGTTCACTTCATTGATATCAGTAATGTTTGATTTTAATGTTGCCATCCAATTCTCAAAATCTGCTATTTTCATTTGGAATTCTTGTCTTGCTAATAAAGAATCAGAAACGAGATTGATTTGATGTCGTACTGTTTCAGCGAGCTTACTGACACGCGACTTTAAATCTGACACACGATTTTTTAAATTAGTTGCACCTTCCAAAGACAAACCATGGCTAATATGATCAGATACTTGAGTCAAAGATATTAATTGAGCTTGATGGTCGGATATAGATTTACTAAAGCTTTTTAGATTAGCCAATTCTTGCTCAAGCTTATTGACTTCTGGTGTTTGAATATTTGGTACAACAAGAGAAGCTTTTTCGCTTTTTTGCAACCATTCAGTAAATTCTTTAGTGTCGCTCTCGAAATTGTTCCAACAAGAAACTAATTTATCCAATTTTGTCGTTATTTGTATAGCCATATCGTGAACCACGTTCCATCTCCTATAAATAGCATCAACTTCATCAGGAGCAGCACTTCTTTTTGTAATTTGTTGACTAATTATTGAAAGATTTTGAACTTGAGGAAGTTGTTGTTGACATTGAGTTTCGAAAGTTCTCGCAATGTCTAACATTTTGATAGCTTGTTCTAAATTCATAGGTTTATTTCCCATCGATGATATTTTGGATTCTGCCTCTTCAACCCAAGGTTTCACTTTCTGAATTCCTAATTCATATTCTTTCCATGTAGCAAGATTTTGTGCAGCTATCTGCCGTTGTATTTCATTATTTTCTTGAAACGATGTTACCATTTTTTGAAGACTTTCGAGTTCCTTATCCAAATGTTTGGACTCCGCACCATCAGTCTCATCTGTTAATCAATAATTGTTTTGTATTATTTGTTATAATTTATTTAAATTTAAAAAAGATTAAAACGTACGTGTTATACTTAAATATATACAATTATAATGAAGTAAACGTTACCTGTTTTGAGTGTTTGTGATTCCTCTTTGAGAATTTTCAGAATTTGTATCTTTTCATGAATTTCCTTCTGTAAGTTTTCAGTTTTATGTAGCCGTTCCTCAGGAGATATAGTATAATTCTCAATTTCCGCTAAAGATTGCGGAATTCGCTGTTGAGTCCAATTTTGTAATTCTCCAAATTTTGATTGGAATTTGGTCCATTTAGAATTATATTCCTGAAGATGCATAACCGTCTTATGTAACACTTTCAACGTAGTTTCCACTTTCTTTTCTGTCTCTATAATTTCTTTTTCCACAAATTCTTTTTTCTCCAACGGTGTTACTTCCGATAAATTAGACTGAATATCGCGCAACTTAATTATCATTTCTTTAGCAGATTTTTCTAAAGTTGAGCTAAATTCTTGTTTATTCTGTAGATCAACAGACATTTGTACAGCGTCACTATAAACGCTTGATTTAACTCTATTTAATTCTTCTTCAGCTTGCTTCATAAGTTTTAGAACTTCTGTTTTTTGTTCTTCATAAGCAGTCCATAATTTTTGTGTATTCTTTAAAGATTTCAAAGTTTCTATGCTTTGGCCATATGTATCATTCCAGTTAACTTCTAATTGTTGGACTTCGGAAGATATAAAGGTAGGTGCATGTTGATCTTTCAAAAGATCTTTCCCACGTTGTAACATGCTAACGATGTTGGCTCTTTCTTGCTCTAGTTGCTGAAGACGCGTTTCTTGGTGAGCTACAGCAGATGGAAGATTTTCAAGATGTGCAAATGGAATTTCTTTCTTTGATTGTTCTCGTACTTTGCGCAAAAGAGTACAGACTTCTCGAACTTCTTTTCTGTACGTATAGCTTTTCGAATAGATGTCTGTTTTTGTCATTGTAATTTCTATCGTTGGTATTAAATTCTTATATCGGCTGATGAGCTGTTCCAATTTCTTTTGCTCTGAAATTGCTTCGTGATCTAAACGATTGGAGATAAGTGCGTCCAATGTCTGAACTAACCACTTCATCTCTTCGCGTTGATTATCAGCTTCTTTACATATTTTCTAGAACAGCAACAAAATATATATTTTTAGATAGAATTATTTTAAAAATTTTAATAATATTTATCTTATACATATGAAGAATAAGAATTGAAGTTTAATTACCGTCATAATTTCGATCTATCCGTACAGCAAGAACAAATATTGATCATATGTTATTATTAAAATATTAAATAATAAGAATGCTATAAATACCTGAAACACAGCTTTCTCTTTTTCAAATTCTTCCAAAGTATTCACTTCATGTAAAATAGTTTTCAGGATACTATCAACATGGTCCATCCATTGTACCATCTCGTCGAATCTGGAAGAAAGATGTGATAAAGCATAAAACGATACACAAAGATTGAATCAATACAGAAATCAACTGGTCGATATACTTTTTTCTGTAGGCAGCCCATTGTTGAGGAATCTGATAGAGCTGCTCTTTAAGATGATCTATTTTCTTAGTAGTCTCAGTCCACAAATGTTCGGTTCTTGCAATTTCTTGATTTAAACTATTATCATTTGGTTTTAGCTGGCTGAAGGTGTTGCTAATCTTTTTTAATGTCTGGAAGCATCTCTCAACATTATGGATAACACCACGATTAACAAAAAACTCTTTATTTCGTTGAAGTATACTATCGATATCATTATTCTGAATTAGAGCTTGTTGTTCTGAATTAATTTCCATCTCAATTTCTTTAAGATATTGAAGCAACGTTGCTTCATCCAAACGAAATTCTAGTTTCATAAGATGAAGCGGTGCAAAAGTAAGTACTTCTTTCCAACGTTTTTGTAAGTTTTCTACAGTTTCAGTAATGGGGGCTTGTTGTTCAATTGGTAAAACATTTCTGAAATCTTGTGCAGTATTTATTAAATCTTGGATCCATTTTTCATTTACCTTACTGAAGAAATTCTTATGATATTCAACGGACGAACGATTGTCAATATGTATATCGTTAAGAAGTGTTTCGGCAGATAATAACCATTCAGAAATTTGTCGTTCACATTCCTTGAATTTCGTCAAACATCTTATTACTTCTTGAAGACGTTGTTCCCACATCTGTGCCAACTGACAGACTCTAGCAAATCGTTCATTTAATTCTTTCAAAGTTAAACCATTTTCATCTGTATCGACATCTGTATCAACACTATTATCCACAGATTTAACTATACTAGCAAATATCTTATTCTTGGATTCAAGCATTGATTTGTAATATAATGTTCGTAAGAAAAATGTTTTGTGTCGTTCTAATTGAGCTAAGATCGCGTCTCTACCACCCGAAAGATCGATACTGTTCAATAATCTCTCAGCTTCGTCCAACCATGTAGATATTTCTTTTCTACCAGCTTCCAAAGATTCTTGTTGTACCAGAAGCTGATGATATAAATGCAATTGCATAGGTATCAAAGCACGAACTCTTACCAAAGCTTCTTTTTCTTTTTTAAGTGTATTCATCATTTTATCGACCTCATCACGAGATAGTTCTTGTATGAGAGTTTGGAATTTTCTACTGATATTCTTAAAAAGATCTTCTATATCTTCAACCTCGTTATGAAGCGTTTGAAGTTTTTCTCCGTAGGCTTTGATACGTTCTGTAGAAGTCAACTGTGAAGTCGAAAGAGCAGACTCTGCATTTCTCAACCAATTCTGTAAAGTTTCAACCCCTACTCTGTAATCCTTTCTATTTCTTAATAGATCACCAGCATGCATATATTGTTTGGCTTCTTGGAAAATGTTTTCCCATTTGTTGGTTAGAGTGATATAACGTTCTTTTAGATTAAGAGCAACGAAATCTTCGGAAGTAGCTATTAGAAAACTAACGGTATCTGAAAGTTGTTGATGTTTATCCTTCCAGATACTAATATCTTGAAAGAATTCCATTTTCTCTTCTTCTGGCAAATTCAAGGAAGATTGTGCACGAAGCAACCAATTTTCAAATTCGTCTGATCCTATAGTCCATCGACGCCAATAAGCAACAACTTCTTCAAGCATGCTTTGTACGCATCTTAAATCCACAGATACATTTTTCCACTTTTCACCAGTTTCTCGCATAAAGCGATCTATTTCTTGACATTCCTCCTTATCTATATAATATACATAACATTAAAATGTACATAAAAAAAATAGTTAATAATATTATTTATATGTAACATTAAAATGTTAATAATATTTTAAAATACATATCTTTATCTGTACGTATTTTTCTTACCTATGTCACCATCACGTTTGTATTCATCGACAACCTGTTGCATATCTAAATAGGCCTTTTGAAATTCTTGGAAAATTCTATTTCTAGAAACAAAATTTCTATACTGTTCCAATATTTGATGAACTTTTTCCTCGGTACCATATTTAATGTTCCAGCCTTTTAATTTCGTTTCTACTAAATAAAGGAAAGCAACAAGGCAACATTTGTGTTCTAGGAACTTTAATTTGATCCTTCGCTTTGCAGCTTTTGATGGTAAACTACTAAATCGTATCGTCATATTTTCGATTTGTTCACGTAAAACTTGTTGCGCAAGTGGCAAATTTTTCGCTTGTTCGAACTTTTCAGCCATTGTTGGTGAATCTAAGAAAAACTTTTTGTGATCTTCTAATTTTTCCAAAATAATATTAGCTGTTTCTTCGGTCATTTCCTCGGGTATATCTTCATCCGAATTCAAGAGACATTCTGCACGAGCAAGCCATCTACCTGTTAGACCTAAATCACCAGGTAATGTAGAATCTAATAACCAGATCCAATGTAACATCTGCGAAAATTAAAATAAATTTCATGAAAATTTTCATAGCTGTTGTCTTGTAATAAAAATATGAATAAAAATATTCTGTATACGTACAAATAATTCCAATGTTTTCCATAATTTTTGTATGTATTTTAAAAAATCACGTGTGATATTTATTATTGAAGGAGTATTTACTAAACCTTGCAGCTTTTTGTAAAGTAATCTTTTTTCTTCAACTTCTTCATTGAATGAAATATATTCCTAAAAGATATACAATCATTAGACGTTTATAGAATTTATCATGTACATTGTAATACAAAATAAAATTGTAATAGGAAAAATTACAGCATACCGAATAATTGGGTGGAAAAGAATTATTTCTATCAAGTTGTTCGAGATATCTTGTTCTATCGTTAAGCCAATTAAGAAGATCATCGTATTCTTGTTTTATAGACGAAAAAGAATCTACATTTGTACTTTTTGGATCTGGATAATTATGTAAAAATTGTGCAACATATGTCATTATAGATTTTTCATCCGGTTGAGGTACATCAACGTCTTCAGGGTCTAGTAGACGAGCTATACCAAGTTCTACTTCAGCTACTTCAAAAGCTGTTTCTAATCGTGTTCTGTTCGTTCCTTCTTTCATAGCTGCTATATTTACCAGATTTGATTTGATAGCGTCGATGATAGCTAAGAAAGCGTTACCATCTCTCCAACTTTCACCAAAGTCACGCACCTGTATACCAATATCTCTACAAAAACAAAAATAAAATTCATATTACTGGATATATTTTACATGTACACATTTTTTATTTCGGTAAATAAAATAAATATATAAAGAAATCTAATATTGAAGTAATACTAACTTGGGAAGAGTATTAGTAACCCATTGGAGCAAAGTTTTTCGTGCACCTTGTTTCCATTTTTCACTACTGATACGTTTTCGTTCACTGGCTGCTGAACCTTGAGTTCCAAGACTTTCAAGACTACTCTGACTACCCCAAGTTTGGCCAAGATACTCTAAAGCCCTTGTATTTTCTTCGATCTATAAAATCGATTTAAACAACAATTAAAATGATGATTTATTTCATAAAAATAAAAAGTATTTAAAATGCTCTAGCGTGCGCAACTATTATAAATGCGCAAGGACATGCACGTGCAATGTTCTGTAAATCCACTGTGATCATTTTCCGAAACTTACGATTCGTTACTTACCCTCTTTCGATCCTTTGATCGTAGCTTGTTTATTGGAATACATACAGTTAGCATAGTGATGATCAATTCGATTTACACTTTGTGAAAGTTAATAATTTATTTAAGTGCAAATTATAAATGGACATTGTTTAGTGTATACTTGTGAATAGAAATTTCAAGCGATAAAAATTAAACGCGACTACATAGACTTAACTTGTTACCTTTGAAAATTAGAAGATTTAAATGGAAACCTTATTAGTTCATAATGGATCACAAGTTAGTCCATTTATGTACTGAGTAAGTGAAAACGAAGCTGCAGCGTTATAAGTATATATATATATATATATATATGTATATATATATATATATATATATATATATATATATATATATATATATATATATGATCGGATCGTATTAAAAATAATGTATCTTGAGCTCTATGGTTAAGCTGCTATCGCATACAAAAATAGAGAGGTTTGCTTCTGCGTAGTCTGCACTATATACTCAAATTTCAAAAGAATTAAACATACCTGAAAGTATAGAATGATGGTCCATATTAAGCCTAACACTACCGGAGGCCGTCCATCGACTAAGTCGGATGAATTTATATTCACTAACTTAATCTAAAAAAAAATAATTATAATTATTATTATTAGATATACACAAATCATTGAAAATAAACGATTACTATTATACGGTACTAATACCAACTTTTTTACTTTGTAAAAATTGTAAAGCTGTATTTGCATTGCTAAGAAAATGAGGCCTTTTTAGATTACGGCCTTTTTCCATTGGCTGCAAATGGAAGGTTATTCGTTAGATCATAACTAAACATTTCGACTATTTCATAGTCTATTTATACTCACCAACTTTTCACCTGACAAAACTTCCAACAAAGCGAGTAAACGAGTACCATCTTTCAAATCCTCAATTAAATCGTCTACACGATAGGGCGGAATTCGCTGTAGACAAAGTTAATAATAAAAAAGAAATACATTTATTATATTATATTGCAGGAGAAAAACAGTAATCAATATTCTATTTATGAAACGGAAAGAGTTTAAAACGAGTAATACCAGTTACCAAAGTACTTTTATACAGACTTATTCTACAGTTTAAACGAACTTCGAACTTAGTTTAATTTTATAGTGCATTACTTTCAACATACACATAGTAAGTGGTATCATGCATGCGTATCAGAGCCGACAGGCTAAGTTTTGAAAGATCCGGAAACAGAAAAGTGGCAAGATCTGAAGAGGATCAAAATTTAGCAAAGTTTCATTTGCGAATCATTAATGTTGTAGAAATTAAAGAAAGGAAATTTTATAGACATTATTTTACGCGATATTATAACTTCTTGAATTTATAATATGTTTAATCATTATGATATATTATTGTTTACCTTTGAAAGATAAGAATTGATCCAATTAACAAAAGTCTTCTTCTGTACACGTTCTTGTTCATCTGAAACAAGAAAATTTTCTATTACAATATTTTGGAATTTTTACGAATACATCGAATAATTTTTATTACTTCTTTTTATTTTCATATTCTTCAATAAAAAACAACTTTCATTAAAGTGATTGCGTCATAATACTGACGAAGCGCGTTACGATGACTGCTTTATTTTTAAACATGCCGTCATATTTGTCACCTTCGCATCGGTCGTCGCATCAGTGCACGAGGTTTACTTAATATACGTATAATTAGAAGTACTAAACTTTATATGTAACTAATTAGATATACAATTAATGCTTAAATCTTTGAGACACATAAACTAAAGGCTATAAATAAACTTCAAAGATTCAAATTAACAAAAGTTTGATTATCAATCTATTTCAAAGAAATTAAAGAATTCATCATTAATCATAAGATAGTAATACTATCTAAAGCGATGATTTCTCTTCTGTTTATATACAAAATTTACGAATCAAAAAAAAAATTGTATTATATAAGTGTTGATAATAAGACTTGTAAAACAAATCAATAATAATAGTGTTTAAATAAAAGGGGACAATGATTTTTATGTTGAATAACAAAAAAATAAGCACCTGAATCTTTGCAACCTGTTCTATTTATACGTATATTTACAGATATCATATCATCTTTATTTTTTAGTTATTTTTAAATATAATATTGATAATTATCAATGTACACGAGTCATTAATGATACTGTTTAGATACACGATATCTCTGTTAATCTGTAATAAAAAAGAAAAATGTATAATTCGATTCAATAGTAAAATTTGATTAATTAAATCAATGGCTATTAATCGGTACATTGACATGGTACACAATGCTATCAATAGATAGATTATATGTCACGAGGTTCCCATGAAACTCTATAGGTGAAAGTTACGCAATTGGTATTCAATTTTCATGTCTACTCTATATTACGTCAATCTACTATATGTAATGGAATCTTTAAAGCGGAATTTGCAGTGTATTGATTTCTTTTTTATTAATTTTTATTATTCTTATCAACTTTCTTAATCGGTACTATTCAGGACATTGATATCTAGTCGCGAATATTCGTGTAAATGTTATTGAAGTTGTATATATAAGTTTCTTAGGAAAATTCAATAAATCACAATAGGTCTGTAACCTTTATATTTCTAATAGTGAATAGTCACGCATAGTTATAAGTATATTAGTGAGTATAAAGTGTAAAAGTATATTAGTAAGTAAAAAGTGCTAACTACAATAGTCAGCAGGTTTTAACGTCATTATAAATTCCTCTCTGTAATTATTGTCTCATTATCTTGTTTATGAATACTTATTAGTCGTATTAGTGATTGCAGCTTCAAGCGTGATTATTCTTAAAATGTACAATTACAATTGAATGTCATTAAAAACGCTGAGAATTATTTAAATACAAAAAAAGAAAAAACAAGCCAATTAAGATCGATATCTTGTCATTTTTATATATTGCACTTTTCAAGATCATATTATTTCCTAAGCAAGAAATGCAATATATAACTCTCAATCGATTTAATTTTAGATCTTTTAGGATATTCGTGATTCTAAGTTCGCGTGACGATAGCGGATGGCAGAATATTCGTGCTCTTGTACTACTACTCGAACACCAAAAAAGCGTGGAGGCCGCAAAATGTGTTGAGGACTGTACGTTGAAATTATCTGACCTAAACGTTCCTATTCCTAATTTCTGTGGCTATGAACAATCAGAAATATAACAGAGAAATGTCTTAAACTTTGACATGTCGCATAAATATCTTAACGTTTTCTTACGAACAAATCGAGCTTTTATTTCTTTATTTACGTGTACTTTATCCAAAGTTATTGTAACTATTTTACATTTAAATGAACTAGATTTTAATAGGTAAAAAAAAGATTAACGATTCTTATAACAATCGATATAGAAACTTTGGAACATGAACTAAAATTTCTTTGAATCAGGTATTAACTTCGTAATATTCAATGCTCCGACAATTTCTTATTTTAATAAATAGATGGTTAATCTAAAAAAAAGCTATCAATGAATTGAGAAGACTTTCTTTAGCAGAATATCTATTTTCTCTCTCAACGACTTCGAATTAATTCGTAAGCATCGATAAATCGAATAAAAATCGCTAGCTATTGAGCTGTTAATAACAAAAGAAGTGAAAAGTTATTTTCATAAAAAACTAAGATTTTACTTAAACTCTCCTATCATTCATCATTAATTATTATCGTTGATTGTATTGCTAATCGCTATAAAATTATTTGGTAATTGCTCATGATATTTCACAAACCATAAGATCGCATGTTATATGTTCTTAGGATTCGCATGTAAATTTACTAACAAGTACAGAAGTTGTGACGCATGCAAATGCACGAACCGGTTTATGTGGAACGACACTTATTAAGGTCTTGTATAAATATGTAAACCCAGAAATGTAAATGTAAATCGAATATTAACGGAATGGTCACAATCGAACATCGAATATGGAACAATATCATTTAAAAAAAATATCATTAAGTATATAGTAACCAGAAACCTTTAAAATTCGAAGTAAATTGATATGAATAAGCAATGTATGTGAATTAAAGTCGATTGAATTTATTTTTACCATTCCTGTTCTTAAATTGCTACGACGATTAACTAAATAAAAATTGCCAGAAATACGTTACAATAGTTATATTAGTCCTCAGTGATAATCCTTTAAGACTATCAGTACGAACCATAAAAAAATAACATACTTTTTATCTAAAATAATATCTTTGATAAAAACAAAAATTTATTCGAGAAATCGATCAATTTTCGTTAATTTTTTCTTTGAAAATGGTTTGTCTAGTAATATTGTACATACAAGAGGACTCTCACAGAAGCTTATCGATCGACCCAATTGGACCGTCAACTACTGACTTTTTCTTTTAGGGCAGAACCAGTCTTACCATCGTCGGCATACATATTATTCGTAATCGTTTATTCAAAGAGATAATAGCGAGCGTTCACCATGATCATTGTCGAGCTTGTAAGAAATAAAATATAAAATAAAAGTTCTCATTATTCTCCTGAGACCGAATTACTTTACTCCGAGACTACTTTATAAAATCATCTTCTGAAGCTAAATACATAATATATATGTAAAATTAATGTAATCATACAAGAAACCAGAAAGATACAAGGGCTTAGACTTAATGATGTTTATGTTGAAACATGCGTTCTTTTAATACATATCTATATAATTCCCATTTAATTTGTTCGTCTTCTTACGAAAATCAACGAAGGCGATCTCTGATCACGGCATGCAATAATCGTTCCTCGCCATGTAGACAGATTACACATTCAGGAAAAGAAATCGGAGAGCGAAAGAGCGAACACGATTCGACCAAGAAGATAGGAAAGGCGATAGCCTTGAACTGACGCTGCTCGCTTACGTCACCGTTAACCATTAGCGGCGTTACCACATTGAGGTTTATATACGTCTGTCTGTCGCTTAAATTTACTATCACAGTCCGATGCAAATTGTAAACAATAGCGTAGAATATCACCTTTACGATGACGTCTACTACCGTAACACTTTACTGTACGCATACCATGATTTAACAATGAGATCGAAACCATCAACCATCGTTAATTAAATTATTTTTGATTAAACGAAAGTTGCTCGAAGATGAAAAATCAAAAAAAAAATGGAAAAAAGTATTCTACTTACTTCGAACATCAAATTTATAAATTATCGCATCGGCGAATAAAAAAAAATGAAAGATGAGAATGCATTAATGAGAAATTATGTAAAGGAGTTGTTACAAATGAAATCTGAGTAAGACTATTTGCGTAAGATGATTACCTGATAATAATAAGAATTTGTAAAAGATGTCAGATTCATGACCGTGATATTTAAGAAAATAAATCTAATTCTAAGCGTTATTATTTTCATGCGTTGCACATTCTCGATGTCCTTGCATCGAAAAACCTAATTTTTCGATCGTTAACATAGTGATAATGAATTTATTCTATTATGAGCTCGTTGAAAAAGGTTCGAGAGTTTTATACCTTATATAATTATAATTAAATATCTTAATCTCTCGTGCGATATATAAAACCAACCAGAGGTTGTAACTTTAATAATCATTAAACGTTAATACCCATACGTAAATTATAATTAAACGACACCGTAAGATCTATTAAGAGATAGATGTACTTATACGCTGCAATTAAGAGACAATAACGACGATTGATCAATGAGTAACGACCTAAAAACCGACCTAAAATGGAAACACATAATGTTACGCGCTTCATTAATTCTCTGTTAAGAAAACATTCTCGTTCTACATTTTTTGCGTATTTCAATTTTCAATACACGTTACCAAATGAAATTACATTAAATTTTCTAAAAAGTATCGAATTCTTTCAATCAAATTTTATCAAGGAAATAGCTTAATTCATGATAAAGAAGAGTAAACATTATAAGAGTGCACTGATAACCATTAAACGAATATAATCAATGATTAAAGATACTATCAAATTTCAAAAGAAGTAATCGTCGAAGTGACAAATAACAATAAAATTAAGCGAATAATATCTCACCTTCGATCTTCTCAGATTAACAAAGTACGATTAACAAAATCGGAAAGATCTTATAAATAAGGACTTAAATCTATGTACCTATATGTGTAGAATTTGTAATCGAGATACATATATGCTTACATATTCTTATGACAAATTTTACGTTTACCTAAAATACATAGAATATTTTCATCTTTAAACAAGATCAACTCGGTAAATTAAATGAAAATGTCATCGTTGTAAAAAGATTCGATTCGTATGAAAAAGAAAAATTGTAAGGACTCGCGAACATAAATCCTCTCACGTTCGAAGAATCCTTGACATTATATCCACATGTATATGAGATACATACGAGACACAGAAAGAAGAAGAAGTATTTCTCCTTGAAAGTAAAAAAAAAAGTCGATGATACCTTTGATCTGAGCGATATGCGCATCGTATTGGCTCCTGCTGCGTAGGTGTTCCATTCTAGCAGCGACATTCTGAAAACTCTGGTTACGATATTCCGCGTACCAAACGGATGGTGGTCGATCGTCCGGTGAAAAATGTTGACAATTGCTGTCTCTTCTTTGAAAGAAATTCTCTTCCGATGGAAATTTAGTAAAGGATGTTACCGAGCTGGACTTACTACCACCATGACTTTGAGCACCGTGACTATGACTCTGATAAGCGGAGTCTTCGAGGGCGTGTTCCTCGCTCGGTGTCCTGCTCATTTCCGGGAATACGATCGGGTCACTTGTAGAAACGTTAGGATCATTTATGGAGGTCGACGAGATTATTTCTCTAGTACTTTTTCTAACGATGACCTTCTCGAATTTGACGACTTTAGCGCCATTTAGATCACCCTCTTCAATAAGTCTCTCGAAACTTTCTTCGAAGGAGGAATCGCTGGTCCTTGACGATGGTCTTGCATACGATGAACGAAAGACACGAGCACGCGAGGAATCGACTTCATCTGGAGGTTCATCGGTACTTGTTGGTGAGCCTCGACCACCGGTCCATACTTGTTCGAAAAAGTTCACCCTATCTCGAAGTCGGCCACCACGTGGCGTTCTAGGACTATCCTGACGATCAGGACCACCTTCGTTCCTAGGTGGAGTGCCTCGTCGCGACATATTTTTATATTTAATTTATGCTCGCGAGGATCGAGCTCGATTCATTTACTGTACAGTCATCCCATTGAAAGTTGACCTCACGATCGTCGAGCGATGTTTTCTACAAATGCCGTCTCTTCCGATCTTCTTCATTGAAGAGTCTCGGCTCTTTTTGATTCTTTCGTAGATGTAAACCAATTAGTAGACACCTGTTCAATGGATACCACACCCCATGTACTATATAGAAAAGAGAGAGAGAGAGAGAGAGAAATATTCTTCACGCGCCGTTGACACCGCACCCTCTCGACGTTCGGTCGTCCGCATCGACAGGGACAGCTGCTGATTTTGCTGTTGCTGGTACTACTTTTGGTAGCCTGTTCACACCGGCCCGGTTCGTTCTTCTCTATTAATGTGTGTTAATATGTCTGGCTCAATTTTATATAACACGTATTACTCCGGATTACGTACTGGAGACGGCACGTAACGCGTATGCAAATGTCGCGCGTGCGTGCCTGAGTTTATGGAATGCACGTATATACATAAAGGAACGTACTGTGCCCGCGCACGACGAGCGTCGGTTCGATACTGGAGGCACTTCAAGCGATGTTGCTTCCACCTCGTTCGCAAGTCCCACCGCCCGCGCTCTCCGTCACTATTATAAAGGCAACGACAACGACGAGTTCGATGACGAAGATACAAGGATAACGAGGGTAACAGAGGCAACAACAAATACGACAACGAAGATGAGGATAACGAGTCAGTCGGCGTAATAACGTAAACGACGACAGCGTCGAAGCGGTTTTGGCATTGACGTCGATGGAATCGGCATTTCTCCCCTCTCCTATATTCTCTATACGAAACCTTCTCGATCAATCCTCTTATCCTGACCTTTTCTCTCTCTCTCTCTCTCTCTCTCTCTCTCTCTCTCTCTCTCTCTCTCTCTCTCTCTCTCTCTCCCTTTCTCTCTTTTTCTCTCCATTACCATCTTTATTTCTCTTCTATCCTCTTCCTTTCTTTCCGATTAATTCAAGTCTAGTCGCATTGTTCTTATGTAACTAGTCTCATAAACGAATATTTTTTTCATTTTCACGTCCAATCGATCGAACTTTTAAAGCTAGTTTTTCTTGTGATAGTGGACAGGATAAAATTTATCCCGCACAAAAATCAGTACAATCGATCTGTACTTGGAATAAGAGTTTTAATCGCGAATAGGACGGTCTGTTTCTATTTTGTCGATAAGTTATCATAATTTATTTTTGTGAGATGAAAAATGTAATAAAAGTTCTTACGATATTCTAACGACCACCCTATATCGCGTCTTAATCGATCAATCTCTTCATTTCTTTTATTTTCATCCTACTTTTATCTTTGTACTTAATGCCAGTCATTACAATATTACTCACTTTAAATTGATAAGCATTGCAATCATATTTTTACTTTTAAGACTCGATAAGCATGTAATCAACGTTGCTCAATTTACGTACGAAATGAGAACTTCGTTTCGGGTGCTCAAAAAGAATTTTGAATCAAACGTTTTTAATTAATTTTTATGATCTATTTTTTGTGCATAACGATCTAAATATTTTATAAATAATCACGAGAGATTTATTACATTTTCCATGTACAAAAAAAAATAAAAATAATAATAAGACTTAAAATTTTCTATTGATAGGATAGAACATCATAGAAACGTGAAATCTGGAATGACGTTTGAGCAACAAGTGGTGAGAAATTGGTTCACGGCAGTTATGTATACGCTTGATTATGTTTTGGCATAGATACCAGTACGAACGGAAAAACAATTAGAAGGTTTCTTCGTCAAGATCTTTGAAATAAAGGTCAGAATTAAATTATCAAATTCAAAGCAAATGTTTGCTCACCTTGTAATTGTTGTATCGTAGCCTGATATTCGGCAAGTTTCTCATCAACATAATTTTGGCTTTGACTGGCGATAATTTCTGCAGTACTAGGACCACTGGATTCTTCATCGACTGGTGTGTGATCCAATGGCACACTAATATATTCGTAATCACCGGATCTATAAGGTGCTATCAGGTATTCCGGTGGCGCACAGGGTACAGGTGATATTATATCGGTTCCAAGTGGATTCTATATAAGCATATAATTATTTTTCGAATAAAATATTTATTATTATATGCAACTCGCAATTTGTTTATAAAATATAAACATAATAAAAATTAATTTATATTTTCTATCATATCTACAAATGTACAAGATAGCATGTTGCTAGTAAATCGATACTAAATGTCAAGATAAAACTAACTATATTTGAAGAACTAATGATACGATAGCGTGACTACTAAATGACTACCAATATTGACAATTATAAGTCTCGCATAATAAGTGATTGATAAGGTATTGGTATTGGTATTGCTGTACTAACCTGTACTGGTATAAATGGTCGAGGAGATTGATTTCCTTGAGCAAGAGACGATGGCCATCGTGGTCTTGGACATTGAATGTAACTATGCGGTGGATAACCAAAAACTGGTGACATCCCAGGTGAAATTGGCATTCCGATCGGTACAGGACTCATTGAATGAACCACACCAGGATATGAATGTGGTGACATTGGACGGGTGTGATGGACAGGTGTCGGTGGTCTTCGTGAAGAGGAAGGCGAATATACTGACGGTGGTTTGAACATGTTCGACGGAGTGGATGTATTTGGTCCACTTGGCGTACTGGTTCTACCTGAGGAAGCGCCGGGAGGTCCATGACCTCCTGGCGGTCTAGACGGATGCTGTGACATTACGCTTAGCTATTTCGAAATGTTCTGCACCTCTTCTTGATTTCTATCATTACTGCAAAACAAAATAAATAGTAAGACTGACTTGACATCATATATCTTAAATCATTTTTTCAGTATTTAAACGTCGGTAAAGTAAAAGAAAAATTATTAAAAGAAGAATTAGCTAAAAGTGAATTGAAATAATTATTATTTTCAATTCTTCTTAACAATTCTATAGATTTGTACGAAAGGATTAGGAACAATTGAAAATCAAAGTTTGAGATAATCCGAGGATTACAAGATAGTTATATGGCTACATTTAAAGACTTGCATATGCACTTATACATTCTAAGAGAAATCAATCGACCAAACTCTGGGTCGCATAGTGACAGTGAGATGAGTAAATCTGGATGGCTCCAGGCCAAAAGTATCTTGAAATAGGGTGCCTACATTGTTAGCACCTATCTATGAATTCTTATACATTAATATGAAATCAGAACATCTCGTCATAAAATATATATATACCAGATGTAAATTAGATGTTTGACAATTGTCATCAATAAAGCCAAGTCATTGTCATTTAGTTATTGTAATCAATTAGTTGCGAATTGAATTACAATTTAACAGATCTATTATCACTATTTTTTTTTAATTTGATAACTATTTATTTAAAAACTTTAAAAGATAATTTTAATTTTCTTGACTTAATTTTATTTACTCTTGTCAATACAATATTCTGACTTCAAATTGTTAAGTCTTCGTTATAATTAAGACATACGTTAGACCAAGAAAGTATTTGTAGAACTTCTGTAAGAAGTTTTAGATTCAGAAAGAGTTCATTGATACTAAAAGGTTTAGCACCTGGAAGGTGCATACGTGTGTAAAGAAATTCATTCATATTAACGATATGATCTTTATAGTCATTGAAAAATAATGATAAACGAATAACTACTCAATGTATAAAATTATAAATGGTCCGTTTTATGCCTTATCTGTTACATATATACATATTCTATTTTTACATCGAGCAAATACATATTACATGTATAATTAAACGACAATCTCCTTTGAATTATTTAAAATATATCGATATATTTAAAAGTATTGAATAAGATGAAAACCTTAAGGTTCTTTGTTGGATGTCGAGTGTAGGCCGCCTAAATATAGTACCATTTCTATTTTTGCGTACTGCGACGCTTATACACAAGCGTCCGACAAACCACCACCAGGTATATTCACGATGAGTGCATCAGATATTTTAGAAAGTGACAGACACACATATTAGCAACCGCGATCGCCCTTCCAGTCACATCACAGACACGTGTGCACGTGCGTAATTTTTGTTTTCGGCACTCCTTCCTCTCTCTCTCTCTCTCTCTCTCTCTCTCTCTCTCTCTCTCTCTCTCTCTCTCTCTCTCTCTGTATTATCTATCTATCTATCTGTCTATCTATCTATCTATCTATCTATCTATCTATCTATCTATCTATCTATCTATCTATCTATCTATCTATCTATCTATCTATCTATCTATCTATCTATCTATCTATCTATCTATCTATCTATCTATCTATCTATCTATCTATCTATCTATCTATCTATCTATCTATCTATCTATCTATCTATCTATCTATCTATCTATCTATCTATCTATCTATCTATCTATCTATCTATCTATCTATCTATCTATCTATCTATCTATCTATCTATCTATCTATCTATCTATCTATCTATCTATCTATCTATCTATCTATCTATCTATCTATCTATCTATCTATCTATCTATCTATCTATCTATCTATCTATCTATCTATCTATCTATCTATCTATCTATCTATCTATCTATCTATCTATCTATCTATCTATCTATCTATCTATCTATCTATCTATCTATCTATCTATCTATCTATCTATCTATCTATCTATCTATCTATCTATCTATCTATCTATCTATCTATCTATCTATCTATCTATCTATCTATCTATCTATCTATCTATCTATCTATCTATCTATCTATCTATCTATCTATCTATCTATCTATCTATCTATCTATCTATCTATCTATCTATCTATCTATCTATCTATCTATCTATCTATCTATCTATCTATCTATCTATCTATCTATCTATCTATCTATCTATCTATCTATCTATCTATCTATCTATCTATCTATCTATCTATCTATCTATCTATCTATCTATCTATCTATCTATCTATCTATCTATCTATCTATCTATCTATCTATCTATCTATCTATCTATCTATCTATCTATCTATCTATCTATCTATCTATCTATCTATCTATCTATCTATCTATCTATCTATCTATCTATCTATCTATCTATCTATCTATCTATCTATCTATCTATCTATCTATCTATCTATCTATCTATCTATCTATCTATCTATCTATCTATCTATCTATCTATCTATCTATCTATCTATCTATCTATCTATCTATCTATCTATCTATCTATCTATCTATCTATCTATCTATCTATCTATCTATCTATCTATCTATCTATCTATCTATCTATCTATCTATCTATCTATCTATCTATCTATCTATCTATCTATCTATCTATCTATCTATCTATCTATCTATCTATCTATCTATCTATCTATCTATCTATCTATCTATCTATCTATCTATCTATCTATCTATCTATCTATCTATCTATCTATCTATCTATCTATCTATCTATCTATCTATCTATCTATCTATCTATCTATCTATCTATCTATCTATCTATCTATCTATCTATCTATCTATCTATCTATCTATCTATCTATCTATCTATCTATCTATCTATCTATCTATCTATCTATCTATCTATCTATCTATCTATCTATCTATCTCTCTTATACTGTCACTGATATCAGCATTTCCACGAATATTTCGTTTCTTCAAAAACGTTCTCCAGTCTGAAGATAGTTGGCGGTACCTTCGATTATGACCATGACCCATTAAACGAACAAAAATAAATATAATATACATATATTTGCAAAACATATACCAGAAGATTGTCCGGATAATTAAACTGATCGGATTGTAATATAAATGTGATATTCAAAGTAAAATAAATCTTGCTAATAATTGTAATTAATTTTGATCGATTAGAATTTTGTTTGCTATAGTAAAAAAAAAAATTATTCACAAATTACATAACACTATTTACGAGATGTAGAGAGATATGAATATAATTTACATAATTTAAAGATTATTATATATATCAAAAAATGATTTCGTAACGTAATGTTAGAAAATGCATAAGTAATTAAAGGTAATACTATGCTATACTTGTAACAAAAATCGAGATAGACATTCGTTTTCGAAATAGCTAAAATGTAAATTTACGAATATCAAAGTACGTTTTTCTTTTGACATGTATTATGCGAATATACTGGCAAACTCTGTCTTAGCACACAAATATGTATTTTGTAGTTCATTGTCTAAATCTTATGCAAATATCAAGAGATTATTCTCGAAGAAATATTGAATCGAAAATTGGGTTCGATTTCGAGATGGATTATTCGATGGAAGAGACATAAAACGGCGCAGCACCAGTCTCTGGATCCTGGACCTCAGATGCTGCGTCCAAAAATAAAATCTCTGCCGAATTGGTGATCAGAAATAGTCCCGTTCGGAACGGATGTCGTTGACAGAGGTTGCTCACATTGGCCCAGCAATGGGCAATTATTGGAACTCATCCATTGCTAATATTCACCCACGTGAATCACAATGATGTCGCAAACTTGTTTTTTTTAATTCGCTAACATACGATCTAATTAAAAGCACCAATAGCACTAACATCTCGAATATTTGTTATATCCAAATAGCAAAAAAAATGTGGATTTCTATTTAGAGTAGAATCCATTCTACATATCGAGTGATTAATATTTTTCCGTACAAACTTATCTAGCCAAATTCAATGAATAAGATCTATAAGAGTAAAATCAATACTCACCGACAAATCCCGAAGTAAACGTCAGTGTAATCAATGGTGAAATTTAACGTGCTCTGATCAAACAAATTCACTCGAAATGGCTTCGTAAACGCACTTCTGATATAATCCTTGTGCTCCTTTTTATGGATGTGCAATTTTCGCTAAAATCTCTCCTGAAGAATAATATAAATGGTAATAATGTAGAGCACTAAAAAAAAACTTTATCGAATAAATTTGTCCACGATCCAAATACAGAAACGTAAGTAAAAAAATCGTACGAAGAAAAAACGAACCAAAGCGTCTATCGTAGGAGAACCGAATCGTCTATCTCCAGTCCGTGACCAAGTTCATGAAGAGACTGTCTTCAACACCGTGTCATTGGTCCACGGTAGGCGCCGCGACGCTAGCCGGCGCTTTTATATTTAACTTTTGCATCATTCGACGTACGATTTAACGGCAGCCGCTTCCCCTGCTCTACCATTACTCTTTCTTCTTCTATCTCTTTTCTTTTTTCTTATCCTGTTCTTACCTCTCCTCTCGACTCTTCTTCGTAACCGCCCTATTTTCTTGTGCTTTTTACTTCGATGATGGCACGTGCTACGTTCGGCTTCTAATGACGTTACTTACATTTATAGCTCATCGATAATTTTGGTCAGCCATTCGTTTGTAGATGAAGAATAAAATTCATTGAGAATATCAATAATTCAATTGTTCGAGATGATTTGGAAATAAGAAACCAATTACCTTAATAAACCAATTTGTAATACGATACTATTAAATGTTTGGTTCATTTCGTTAGAACCGATACTAGAAACTTAACATTTCAGGATAATAATTCAGAAAATTTATTATAAAAGTATATTTCAACAAACAATTTTATAAATATTTATATGATATTTGGAAATAAATATCTAGGATTTAAATACAGAAAGTAAATCTATTTAATTCAGTTTTAAGAAAATTAGTTACACCTATGTGTCTTCCTCTAATTATTTATTCTAAGATTAAAGCGGATAGTTCATTTTGAATAAATTCTCATCACTGTTATTAAATAAATTTATTAAAATATATATTTTTTTAATCTTATAATATTATAGATGTATGCCTTACATAAGTATTATTAAATAATTTCGTAAGTATATTATCTGGAATTTATAATTAATTAAAGCTTGCATTAAAATTATATATTTTAAGATTTGAAAAATTTTAAATGACGGTTAAGTCATTACCACGTTTTCTATTCTTCAAGTGTACCTTAATTATTTCTAAAAATTCTGGACGATTAAGATGCGTGTAAGCAATGGAAAACATTTGCAACGCTGTCTTTTCATTATGCACATTACCACTAGAAAACAGATTATGTGCCAATTCTAGACAAGTTCCGAAGTCACATTCATCTGCAGCTATTGTTGCGAGGCGTACAACTTCATCGAGTTTAGACATTGCTTTTTTACGCTCTTCTAAGGAATCTGCCTCATCTATTTTCTTAAATATTTGTTGTAATTCTTCTAAAATATCAATAGTAAAATTATACTGTAGTTATAAATAGATATGTAGTAGAAATAGAGTAGAAGTTTCTTACTATCAGTCACTGATAATTCTCTATAACCCAATTGTGTTTTCTTATTATATGGTACAACGATCCCAGCTTTATGAAATGTCCTTGTAACGACTTTCTTCTCTCGATTTATCATTTTGTCTGTTTTTCTTTCTAAAGTTATATTATGTTTCTGAGCAAATTCTTTTAATTGTTTTTGAAGTTGTAATATACTTGTCTTTTCGAATAAATTAGCCGTTTTCAATGCATCTTCGATACAAACACTGCAATTATATAAACAATATTTTAAAATATTGTATGAAAGTTAAAAATTTTATGTTTGAATACATACTTAACTGCACCAAATATATTTTCTGCCTCAGGTTGTATTATACAATTTACATCTGCTTTATTTTTTACTACAAATATTGGCTTTTCATTAGGCTCATCTCTCCAATATCCAAGATGTAAACCATCTTTTTGTCCTGCAATAATTGTCTATAAAAGAGATGAATATATACATAATGACAAAAACTCATTATGATGCTTTTAATTATTTATTAAAGATTTTGAAAATAACTGTATTTAAATATTTATTTTAATACATACTTGAAATTCTGGTGGATCATAATAATATCTCCAATGTCCAAGATATTTTTCTTTATCTTTATTTTTAAAACTTTTTAATTTATTATCTAAAATATCGAAAGGACCCACGAGATTGAGATGAACGGATTTTAGGGCCCTTAATGCTGCATTGTTGGAAATAAGTTTGCAAAACTCATAAAATTGGTAGAAATCTTCTGGCATTTGAACTAAGAATAAATTTTTAATATTTTCTTTCATACAATTTGGAGATAATATACAAAAATCATCACTGTCTGTCTGATTGCTATTATCAAGTGAGGCACAAGATTTTTCTTTTATTTCTTCTATATTGTCTTCAACCATTTTCTCATTATTTGATGTTGTAATTAAATGTTCATTATCTGTTTCTATATTATCAGTATGTTCTGAATTATTTACATCAGCATTAGGAACATTAGTCTTAACTTTTTGAATTTTACTCGAAACAGAAACAGAATCTGCTTTTTTCTTATTATCATTTATTTCTTCAAATTTTCTTTTATTCCCAATTAATATTTTTTGACTAACTTTGGCTTCTTTCTATAAATAAATAAAATATATTTTTATAAATATATGTTTTTGATACCTCAACAAATTAGTATTGTAGTTATACATTCAAAATCAAAAAATATGATTATCATAGAATTAATGTTGAAATACAGAGTGAAATATGTAACTGAAATCATTACAATTACTGTATAAGTAATGATTTTAAAAACATTTTAAAAAGAAGTTAAATTTTGAGGGGAGTATATTTTAATATTAGTTTTTTTGTACAAGTGAACATATAAAAGTTATATGAATGTTAACTTTGGTTTCTTAAACGGAATCATATGTTTTTTAATGCTTTAGTTAATAAAGCTAGACAATTTCTATAAAAAAGGATTAACCCATATATGTTGAAAAATGATTAGTTTAAGAGATATTTTAATATAATCATAAGAACAATAAGAAACTATTATTACTAATATTTATTTACTATTATTCTCACTACACTTTAATGTACATATTTCCTTATCGAAATTAAAATATCTCCTAAACTAATGGTTTTTTAACATAAATAATTTAATATCTTTTTATACAGAATTATAAGCTGGATCGACTAATGTAATAAAAAATATATGATTCCACTTAAAAATAACAAATTTGATTTTTATATATCTTTTACGCATTCTTCTACCAAAAAACTAATCACGTCAAATTATGTTTGTAATCATTCAACTTTTATCTGAAACATTTTTCATTAAAATCATTATTTACGTAGTAATCGAACAGCTTTCAATTACATGCTAAACCTTGTATAAGAAAATCTGTTGATAATATGTAAAAAGCCTTCAAAAAATATATCTTATATTTTTATAATATTAAAAGATAATAAACATATAATATTATAATATTAAATATAATACTAAAATAATAAAGTTTATAATATTAAAAATAATAAAAATGATATCATACTTTTTTAGTCGAAAAAGGGTGTTTATACTTATTATGGTGCAATGAATTTTTTTGATAACATTTCGCGCCATATCGACAAGGTATTCGTGAATCATTTTTGTAAGCAAGAAACGCTTTATCTTTATAATCTTCTGACATTATAACAAAAAAGATGAGATATAAAATAGTGAAAAATAAGATAATTATTTTATATTGCACATTTATAAGGCAGTTAAAAAAGAAATATTTTTATAAGAATTTTCGACGGTTGATATCTTCGCTGTAAATCTATAAACTACAGAGCGCGCCCTCTACTGACCATAATTTCAATGAAATATAAGAAATACTATAGCGAACATGGTGTGCAAGATAAGAACTACTGTGATGTTCCAATGCTCTGACGCTGTAGTCGGACATCAAAAAAAGAACTATAATTGCCGAGACGGTTTGGTCGTCAGCGAAGTTTAGTACTTGTAAAAAAAAAATTATACAAAAAAAAATTGCAAGAGAATTGTGTTTTGAAAGTATGGGTTTTTAAATATATTTTAATCCAAAATAACTACGTTCATTTATCTATCTATAGAATATAGCTTATGTATATATGATTAAAATCAAATTAGCCGCCAAAATAATATATGATATTGTACTGTTTCTATAAAAGTATAAGTAATGTTCTGTCTGTTTGGTTAGAATAACTGTAATTGAATTTGTTATATAGAAAATCGGATTTAATCAACCATCATCATGGAAAAAATCATAAAAAATACCTAAAATAATTAAAATAAAATGATTATATATTATATACAGTCCGAGATAAAGTGATAACACACTCAACATTTTTATTTATTTCTGAAGATGGAAGCAGGAAACTTTTTCCCTCTCTGTCTTATCGATCTCGTCATACGTACATATAGAAAATCGCTTTATTGGAATGTGATAACACACATGAGGTCTTTCCACTTATTAAATTTCTTTCTTTAGTTGTTATTCAGGTGTCTACGAAAATATAAATATAGAATATGTTTGTAGCAATGTTGTGGTTTATTAATTTCTATTAAATTTTGAAAATAGGTCGAAGAAAGACTAAATAAAAGTGAAATCAATAGAATTTTAGTATTACGATTAAAAAATTACCTTATCTCAAAAATTGTAAAACTATTCAGTAGAAGTCGTAAGGCAATACTTAATTTATTAAAGTATTCTAAAAATTATGGAAAAAAATACCATTGTAGAACAAATTCTGGCAGAACGACAAGAAAAAGCTTCTTTACGGAAAGCTTCTAATTCCAAAGAAACTGCAAGAGAAATTGCTAAAGCTGCAAGTATTATAACATAAAAAATGTCTAACGTATTTTGTAAACATTGGAAACTAAAGAAACGCGCACCATTAACATCATATGTACAGCAGAGGACAACGCTTAATGTTCGCAAAAAATCATTGGAAACAACATTGGAGAAAAGTTATTTTTAGTGATGAGAAAAAATTTAATTTAGATGGTCCAGATGGATGGCATTATTATTTCCATGATCTTCGAAACAGGAACTTATTTTAAGTCATCGATAAATGGAGCGAGAAATTGTAATGGTATGAACTGGAATTGAATACCATAATAGGATAAATATAAATTTTATATAAGACCATAAACAGTCAAATGTATATCAAATTAATAAATGATCAATTGGAAGAACATACTGTTCACATTATATGGAACAATTGAATATTCCAACAGAATAATGCGTCGATTCATACAGTTAAATCTGTACAAAATTATTTTTCTGCTAAAAAGAAAGTTCTAGTCTGGCCTGAATACTCTCCAGATTTAAATATTATAGAAAATGTTTAGTCCGAATTAATCCGAAATATTTATACAGAAGGAAGACAATTTGGAACAATAGAAGAATTAAAATCAAAAATTGTAGAATTAATGTATCACAACAAATTTTTAAATTATACAAATCAATACCAAATCTGATTGAATTATTACAAAAGAAAGGATGTATCACAAAATATTAATAAATTATTTATTCGTTATGTAGATATATTTTTTATATAATGTGCTATTACTTTGTCCTACCAACTTTAATTTCTATTTACATTTTTTTTTTTTTATAACTTTAGTAAATTGTATTCTACAAACACGATTTTTCGTATATTTACATGTCCAATATATAGGACAAAATATGTATTTTCCTGCATATATCTTCAAAAATAAATAAAAATGTTGAGTGGAAGTTATTTTTTTGTTCAGGACTGTATTAGTATATCTTATATTATAATTATAATTTATAACACATACCATTTAACTATAATACTTATTCACAATTTATATCTTTTTTAGACTAAAAACAAAGCACCTGTGGAAATTTAAATCATAACAGTACAACTATTAAGAGAAGCAAAGGAAAGAGAGAAAGAGAGAGATCAAGAAATTTTACCTCTTATAAGAATAACATTAAAATCTTTATTCTATAATGTTAAACCTATCTAGAATTTTATTTAAAGAACAATTCATTTATAAATATTCCTTCTCAGCCACAAAATATCTCAGATCTCCATGAATGGAGATTGATTATCAATATTGGAAATGAAAAACGTATGAAGACACATAGGAATCATATATTGGGTTGAAGAAAAAGTTTCTTCGTATTCTCATGGCAGATGACATTACAGTTATATAATTTTAGTAATTGCATGCATTTGTAAAGTGACATCACTATTTTTAGAAAGATTATGATATATTTGTTTATTTATTTAAAAGTTATTACGTCTTGAAAATGAGTGAAAAAGAAGAAATTCGACATGTTTTGAAATTTTTTTACAAAAAAGGGACGAATGCGACTCAGGCTGCTAAAAAAATTTGTGATGTATATGGACTTGATGCAGTATCAGTACGTGTGGTACAAATCTGGTTCAAGCGGTTTCAATCTGGAAAATTTGATATAAATGATGCACCTCGCTCTGGTCGGCCAATAACTGAAAAAGTCGATGAAATCATGAAAAAAATTGAGCAAGACCGGCACATTAGCAGTCATCATGTCGCTAAGGAACTAAACATCGACCATAAAACAGTTTTAAACCATTTGAAAAAGGCTGGATACAAAAAAAAACTCGATGTTTGGGTGCCACATGATTTAACAATGAAAAATTTAATGAATCGAATTTCCATCTGCGAATCGTTGTTAAAACGGAACGAAATCGAACCATTTTTGAAGCGGCTCATTACGGGCGATGAAAAATGGATCATGTACGACAACGATGTACGGAAAACATCATGGTCAAAGCAAGGATTGGCGTTAAACAAAGTGATGTTATGTGTGTGGTGGGATTGCAAAGGAATTGTTCACTATGAGTTGCTGCCGCCCGGTCAAACAATTGATTCTAATCTCTACTGTCAACAACTGGAAAGATTACGTCAAGCAATCGAAATAAAACGACCGGAATTAATCAATAATAAAGGTGTCATCTTCCATCATGACAATGCCAGGCCCTACACATCATTGATGACTTATCAAAAATTGAGAGAGCTTGGGTGGGAAGTTTTAATGCATCCACCGTATAGTCCTGACCTTGCACCGTCAGACTACCATTTGTTTCGGTCTTTGCAGAATTCCCTTAATAGTGCAAAGCTGGCTTCAAAAGAGGCCTGTGAAAATTACTTGTCAAAGTTTTTTGTGGAGAAAAAAAAGAAATTCTACAATGACGGGATTATGATTTTACCTCAAAAATGGCAAAAAGTAATTGATCAAAATGGCATGTATTTGGTGTAATAAACATTGTTTGAAATATAAAAAGCTATTAATTATAACTAACTGCATAAAATATGCTCAGTAGACAAATTGATTTCAAGAAACAAGTAGAGAGACCAAGATACTTAACCATTTATGTTGGAAAGACATGTATGTCAAGATATTTTTGTTTAAAAATTGCCAACGACATATTGTACATGTCGATAGGCAGTTATTGCAATAATAAAAATCACGTGCATGGCACGTTGACTGGAATCGTTATCGAAGTACAATTTCGGAGTGCACTCCGTTACGTGGAGTAATCGATATAATATCACATAAAAATGTATTTCAAAATTCTTACAATTCCCAATACATTTTCTTATATGCCAGTCAAATCAAATAATACATTTGTTTTATTTTAGTAATTTCAATCCATATTGTAAAACAGAGAGCGACAGTAAACTTAGTGATATTATTTCGATAAATATAAAGGAAATAACTAATTAAAATAGTAAAGATAGTGATAGTGATTGTGATTGCGATAAAATTGTTTTTCCACTTTGGAAGTGATGTTGAATCACTTTTTATGACGAAAATAGAATAGAATCATATCTGAGGAAATATGTGAAAAATTGTGAAATTAATCTAAGGGATGGATATGGAAAGACATTGAAAATAAAAGTAGAATATGACAATATTCATGAATTACAAATGACGCCTCATGGGGAGTTGCAGCGTTTTGACACGTACATCTATGAATTAATCGCCAGCGCAAGTGATTAAAGTAGAAGAAATTTTTAATTTTGTAGCATTAATTGTATTAACTCTTTGTGATTGAACCCTAGGATGTTTCCAGCAAGGCTGCTTTACCGTTGCTGTCATATCAGATATTTTTGACACAAGTATGTGACGGTAATTTAGGCAGTGAAACATAACACTGTTTATCTTAACATACTCTTCACTCATCTATAAAAACTTCGTTTTGTCTGAAGAAACAGTCATTACTCAGTTCAAATCATCGCACAATCAACAGATTCAGTATTATTGACATTTATTATCTTTTATTTTTTTAGTATTTCAGATTCAGTATTATTGACATTTATTATCTTTTATTTTTTTTAGTATTTATTGTTATTTATCTTATTTCTTACATTTGTAAAAATTATGCTCTAAAATGTCTAAAATGAGATGCAATCCTAGTAATTATAAAGATATGCAAAGCAGTGATGATGAATTTTATAAAGATTATCGTGGTGAGCCCAATTATTGTCCAATGATGATAATTTCAATGATAACTCAGATATTGATAGCGATATTATAATGCTTAGAAGAAAACATATAATGCAATTACATTTAACTCACAACGATATTGAAGTAACATTAGGAAGTAATATTCCAAATGAGAATCATATATACCAAGATGTTACACACGAAAATGTCGATTTATTAAAAATAGATTTTTCAGCAGAATCTAGGAGTCCAAATGCACAAGTTCCTGCAACATGCACAGAGCCAGTCTTTTTCATCAGATTTTTTTACTGACGAGTTGCTTTAAAATATTGTAGAGAAAATAAATCGGTATGCCAGGACAACAATTGTAGACAAAGTATTATCACGTCGGTCGATATGGGATAATTGGATAGATGTGATAGTGTCAGAATACAACCATTTGTAGGTGTGATACTCAACATGAGTATTATAAAATTGCCAGATATGAAAGTCTACTGATTGCATCAACATAACTCGAAAATATAATTTTTTTGGACATATTTTGGAGAAAAAGGCTTTTCCAAATTTATTGGATGTTACATTTAAATATAAATATTTCAAATGATAGAAGCATTAGAATAAGAATTCAAAAATCCAGCAACTTGTTAAATTATATTGAAGGCTACATTCAAAGACTATGTTATTCCAAATAAAAAGATTTCAATTGATGAATCTGTCATAAAAGTCAAAGGAAGAATTAGTTTTGTTACCACCCCAAAAAACCAACAGAATGGAAAATTCGCATTTATATATTAGCGGACTCTAACACCGTTTATATACATTCACTTTTACCATACTATAGCAGTTCTACTACAGAATCATTGATACATGATCTTCCAATAACTGCAAAAATTATATTACACCTCTATAAAAAATTATTGAATCAATCCTGATCCATGAGGTTATATTTATACTGATAGATTTTGTGCAAGTATAACGTTGGTGCATGAATTATTGAAACTAAAATGTTATATTACTGGAATAATAAACCAAAACCGAAAATACATAGTCCCCACAGTACAAAAACTTATATTTAGTAACATGAATGTTCTTGATTGTCGATTTGGAGAAACATTGCTACTATTATGGAAAGACAAAAGGATTGTCACTAAGTACATATTACACAAAAAAATGGTAATAATAAATACAAATTCACCAAAAGTTGATATAATTACAAAACAGAAACTAAAAGTAATCGCCGAATATAATAAACATATAGACGGTGTCGGCCGAGCTGACTAATATCGTACATCCATTTTTTGGAAATTTCGTGAAAAAAAGTAATTTTTTGGAATTTAGAAATTTGTTCTGTGAATAGTTATATATTGTACAAATAAACGTACAAATAAACAAGAAGACAAGACACCCACATGACATCTAAAATTTGTTAGAAAATTGATAGATCAATTGGTGGATAATTTAGGTTCGTGACGGATTTTAGGCTTCGCATGGTAAACTATCAACCTTAGATAAAGAAGAATGATTAAACGAAAAATTACATATTCTACAACGAAATCAAGGAGGTCGGAGCAAGGAATATTTCGTCTGTTCTGATAGGAAAAAAGGTCAAAGAAAAGAATCCGAATATCACTGTGAAAAATGTATAAGAAAACCGAGATTGCACATTGGATCTTGCTTTGAAATATATCATACCAAAAAAAAATTTTTTTTAAATATGGAATGTGGACATAATAAATAATATACATACAGCTTAAATACATTCTTTTGAATAAGACTTATACGTTTTTAACAAAAAATTGAGTAAGCGTGCACTACCTAAAAATGATAACGACTGGTACGATTCCTATGCTTAAAGAATATACAACCGCAAATAATTAAAAGTATTTTAAAGTTTTGTATGTAATTTCTTTTAGATCTATATATTTAAATACTTTAAGTATTGATTATAGATGCCCAAAGTATATTGACATGGAAATGCAAAATTGGAAAATAAATTATGCTAGACATTTATAGAATCATGCAATTACAATTTCAAACATATGCATATCAGTTTTGGTACAAGTATGCATATGTAGGGGAAATGTTAGAAAGTATTGTTGGTAAGCTGTTTTGTTAATGACAAGATTTGATATAAAATTAGGAATTATTTTTTATTATGTAACTTGATTTTATAAAGATTTATTATAGGAGCATGTCAAGTTTTTGAGCACTGAATAGATTGGGAATCTTATATACCAAGTATATTAAATTTGATTTACTATATAAAGAGATATAAAGAGCAAGGAAGATATATGAACGTTTTATAATAGTTCATCTTGATGTAAAATATTGGATAAAGTGTCTTGGAGGAGAATTTCGGCTTCACAAAGTTTATGAACGTGCTGTTAACTTTTTTGTTTTCGTGAATTTTATACAATTTTTAAATAGGCATTGAAGATGTAATAATTAGCAAAAGAAAATATCAATATGAATAAGAAAATAGAAAAAATCTTTCTATGATGCTTAATTCGATTATCTGACATTAATAGAATCCAAAGGAAATCTTGATATTAAAGAAGTAAGAAAAACATATGAATGAGTTATAGCTAATGTTCCTTCCTACTAAAGTAATGAATACTTAAATTTTTTAAATTCTATAGTAACATTACATAAAACAAATTTTCTTTTCATAAAACAAATTTTTTATAAAAGAAGCAATATTAGAGACAATATATCTCTCTATGGATGAATTATACTTTGTATGAAGAATTTGATATGAAAAATATAGATAGATGCCATCAAATATACATGTATAGCTTATCTTATGTAAAATCATTGTTATATAAGATATAACTTCATAATATTTTTTATTTTTTAATTTTTTAATATTTAGAATTCATTCCACATAAACACTTCACATTTTATAAGATATGGCTATTTTATGCATATTTCAAAGTATAGCAAAAAAATTTAGCTCTAGCAAAAAAAAACATTAGTATGTTATTATTATAACAATTTTTTTTGTATTATTTATTAATATTAAATTATTACATTTTGTAATATAGTGTATAGCATTATGTGTTTGTCTCAAAAATAAACTATGTTATAGTTACATTGATTTAAAGATACAACTTAGATAGATGTAACAATTTGATAGATGTAGGATTTTGTGTTCATGTGTGAATTTGGACCTGATAAATGCACAACAATGATGAAAGTAAATTATTTTTCCTATAGTCACATTTATATTTATTTACTTATTATAATGTCTATTTAGTTTGCAGAGTTAGAAACTTTATTAGGAGACATTAATTGTACTGGAAGTATTTATGAATTAATTATATTTTAGTCAAGATAAATCATATTTCTAGAAATTACAACTAAGTATAATTAAATTTGTATTGTTTCTTTATTAATCAAATAATTTTTCCTCTATTATTTTTATTACTTAAAATGAGTTTGATTTTATGATATGATTATATATCTTAAAATAAACCAAAATTGTTTATTAATTTATAAATATTCTAACATAATACATTACAGGTTTGGATAGCCTATGTTAAATATGAATTAGCTAATTTTCCATTGGAAGATACTGTTAATATTATTATTTTAGCTCCTAGAATGTTTGAATATCGGAACGATGCATTGTGTTCAAATGGTAACAAAAAAAATAAAGTATTACTTTTGGAAGTATGGTGAGATTTTGCAAATGAAAAAGTAGAAACAAAAGGATGAATTGTTGGAGAATGTACAGTAAGTATATTAATATCAGAAAGATTTAGAAAAATTTAAATATAAAACAACATTAATCTTTTTTATTGTTTCAAAATGACGGATAGGAAAAAGTATTCAATTTTCTATTTTC